ACCCTGAAGCCTATTTCTGTAGCCTTGAACAAAATGCAGAGAAATAGCTGTTTTATTGATGACGCTGTGGAAATCTGGAAGGAATTGAGTGAGATTTTAAAGAGAGAAATATGCAAAGACAGAGTTAAATTACAAGCATTAAAAAAACGAATGGGACAAGCACTGTCGCCAACTCATTTTCTTGCAAATATTCTCAATACTCGGTACCAGGGTCAAACCTTAACTGCTGAAGAAGAGGAGTTGGCTATGACATGGACAGCCAACAATCATCCCTCCATAATGCCAACTCTAATAAACTTCAGAGCTAAGGGTGACCCATTCAAGAAATATATGTTTGCTGATGATGTTTTAAAGAAAGTCACACCAGTCACTTAAGCACTTGGATTCAGACAGTTAAACTGATAATCTCACTTTTAACAGCAGTAGCTTCTTCTGCTAGTGTAGAAAGAACATTTTCTTCTTTTGGACTAATTCATTCCAAATTGAGAAATCATTTGGGACCTGAAAAAGCAGGAAAGCTTGTTTTTCTTTTCCAGATTATGAACAAACAGGAAAATGAAGGTGAAGACGACTGAGTTGGCGGCAGAAGCCAATATTTTAAGTTTCTCATGTTGACCTGGCTGACATAGTCGATTTAATTTTTTTTTTAAATATTTCATTTAACTATTTTAGTTAAAAAACAATTTTAACAAAAACAAACCTGATTTTAAAAAACTTGAATGTTTAACTAAATTCAAAAATTCATATGCTTGTTTTGTTAAAATATTATGTTTGCTGTTGAAGAAAAAAATCCAGAATACATAACGTTGTTGTTTTAGTTAAATAAAACAATTTAAATGTCGGTCTGGTGATGTTCTCCTCCTAATACAGCATAGCAAGAAAATCCTCCAAATATTAATGATTAACCTGTTGAATTGGAGATAGTTCACCTCCCAATGACTTCATAAATATCTGCTTCAATTATCTTTGGTAAATGAAATAACCAATCATTCATTTTCTGATATAGTTGTAAAACTAATCTGAAAAGTTTTCAAAATAAATCACTTAAAAATGTATAGTGTGTACCTTCTAAAAATGAAACCTACATCTATCTCTGAGTTGTGAAGAATATGTATTAAGGTTATAACAACCAACAAGAATGCACTTTTATGTAGAAATCCATGATTAAATCGAGTCTTCCTGACTAGTGATTTAAATCATGATTGATTTAAATAAAATCCACACTGGAATGTATTCATCTGGTGTTCATATGGCAAATTTCACAGTAATTGAAGAATGCCATATCCAGCTGATTCTGCAAACTAATTTAGTTAGGAAAAATATAATTACCTGGTTGGAATTCGATCAGGACACCAAATAACATCTCTCCACTCTTACAAAAAGAGCTATGGGATTCTTAATGACTACAGCTGGTCAGGATATCAGATGAATGTCTTATGTCAAAGACAGCACATCCAATACCACAGTATCCCCGAATACCGTACAATAATGGAGCATTGGTTCAGCATTGACTCAAGAGGGAAGAGAGTCAGCTAGTGAGTCACTAGTTCTGTTTCCTACAGCATCTAAGTCTTTCTTGGAGGTCTTCCATCAAAGGACTGACATAGTCCAATCCTGCTTAGCTCGAAAGATCTGATGGGAACAAGCACATGGCATGGTTGGCATGACTGCAGGCAAAAATTATAAAGATCTATGCAAAAACATACATCATGCTAAAGAAAATATTTAGCATCAGAGCAATGAATAATAAAAGCAATTGAAACTCAAGACACATTGAATGTGAGGAGTTCAGACTGTGAAACAAAGGACACACAATACACTGACTCTCTAATGACCACATAACCAAATGCCACTAATAGAGACACTGATGAGATATAAATTTCTCAATATCTCCAAAGATGTAACCTTTCACAATGGCAGCTGAATACAGGTGAAGGAATGGGAGTAAAAAAGCATACGAGTAACTGGTGGAAAGTGGGGAAAAAAGAGAACTTTTCTGGACCAGTCTTTGAGTCATTGTCAAATGACATCCAGTAACCACCCCAAACACACCAAGAAACCTGCTCTCTACAGCTAGGCACTCACATACCACAGAATATGCTCCCAGTATAAAGTCCGGCATATACACCTTAACATGCTCAAAACCGCCTTCACTAAACAAGGACACTCCACCAGAAGTAGGTTGCATCATGGAACAGGCCACTCAAATACCCTGAGAAAACCTGCTTCAATACAGAAATAAAACCCCTTCTGACCGCACACATCGTTGTCATCCACCACCCCATCCTGGAACCCATACAAACAACTACAACCCATACTCGAAAACTTTCCTGAACCCCCTCTTCTGGCCCTCAAGCAACCCTCCAACCTCTCCAAGCTAATCATCAGAAGCATGCTCCCCACACCAACTCAAAGGGGCACCAGACCCTGCCAGAACAACACATGCAAAACCTGCAGACATAGCTCCACTGCTACAATGATCAACATCCCTACAACATACCTTTCAAGATCAATGAGCCCTACACATGCTTAGCACAACATGTGGTGTACCTCATGCGGTGCACTAAATGCCCCAATAACAACTATGTGGGTGAAACCAGACAATCACTACATTCTCAAATGAACTCACACAGGAAAATGATAAAAGACAAAAACACCGTATCACCTGCAGGTGAACATTTTCCACATTTTCACTCTGTATCAGTCCTCATCCTCAAAGAAAACCTGCACAACACTTTCAAAAGACGAGCTTAAAGCTTAAAGTCATAACTTTGTTAGACACTAAAAATAATGGACTGAACAGAGACACTGGATTTATGGCTTATTACAACAACCTATAACCCATTAACAATCCCCCTTGCTGTCTTCTCACCTCCTCCCCGCCTTCCTTTTCCCCTTACGACTGGAGTGGTGTCAACAGGCCACTTCACCTTGAATGTTCCCTTGAAATATGTGTTAACTACTTATGCTAAACAATATGTTCCACCTTGTATTTAGCTGTAACACTCTGAATACATTTTCCAGACCTGAAGAAGAGCTCTATATAAGCTTGAAAGTTTGTCTCCCTCACCAACAGAAGTTGGTCCAGTAAAAGATATTACAGTAGAACCTCAGAGTTACAAACACCAGAATTAAGAATTGACCTGTCAACCACACACCTCATTTGAAACTGGAAGTATGCAATCAGGCAACAGCAGAGACCAAAAAAAAAAGCAAATACAGTACAGTACTGTGTTAAATGTAAACTTCTAAAAAAAATAAAAGGTAAAGTTTTAAAAATATTGACAAGGTAAGAAAACTGTTTCTGTGCTTGTTTCATTTAAATTAAGATGGTTAAAAGCAGCATTTTTCTTCTGCATAGTAACGTTTCAAAGCTATATTAAATCAATGTTCAGTTGTAAACTATTGAAAGAATCACCATAAAGTTTTGTTCAGAGTTACGTACAACCTCCATTTCTCACGTGTTCATAACTCTGAGGTTCTACAATATTTCACCCACCATGTCTCTCTAATAAAAAGGTTGGTACGTTCAGCTACCTTTATGCAGGAAGCCAAAAATTATCTTTAAAACTTTCTCTAAATGGAATGTTGTTACCAATGCAATAAATAACATACCTTACAAATTTCCATTTCCCATCAGCAAAGGCTTATTCGGTTGATTAATAACACATTTTGACCTTAGGTTTCTAGTATGAGAAAACAGGTAGGAAAAAGACAGCTAATAGCTATTTTGATGTTTCAACTCCAATTAACATCTAGTAAGGTAACAAATTGTTTTCTAAATTCATTAGATTGCTTGGCATGAAAGTGTATCATGTGATATGTTGTTCCTTCCAACTATGAAAACAATGAGATATAAAAATGCAACGTTTTTATACAATAAAAATATTACTGAGAGATTACACAGACTCCTTTTTTCTCTAACTCTAAAAGGTACTCAAATGCCACAGTAATGGGCACTGGAGGGCCTGGTCTACACTGGGGGGGGGAGGGAGGGAAAATCGATCTAAAATACGCAACTTCAGCTACGAGAATAGAGTAGCTGAAGTCGATGTATCTTAGATCGACTTAGAATCACTTACTTTGCGTCCTCGTGGCGCTGGATCGACGGCCGCCGCTCCCCCGTCGACTTTGCTTCCACCTCTCGCCAAGCTGGAGTTCAGCAGTCGACGGGAGAGCGATCGGGGATCGATTTATTGATCCCCGATAGATCGATCGCTACCCGCCGATCCGGCAGGTAGTGTAGACGTACCCTAGGAGAGGTTATATAGAAGAGATCTCTCCCAGAGGAATATGTTATTTTTGAAATTTAAATTCTTTGGCTTCAGCAATCTGACCTTTTTGCAGTGTGAGAGAGAGAACCAAAAAGAGAGGCAGAAATGGGGTGGTGGGGGGAAAATGGGAAAAATCACAGCAGGATGTTTTCCAGAATCTATTACCGCTACAAAATACAAAAATTTTGGGTTTGTTAATATTCTTACAACTTTATTCAGCACTGTTTTTTAAACAAATCTGACATTTTGTGCAAGTTGAACTGGAATGACTAATTTTTTTAAATGAGGTAAGGTACAGTAAAATGAGGTAAGGCTCAAGGATAACACATAAAATATGTGGGACAAAATTTTCAAACTTAATTGTCTACAGTTAGACACCACTGTACTTGGCATGATTTTCAGATATGCTGAGCATTTCCCGCTACCATTCACTTCAGTGCAAATAGCAACTGCCTACCATCTTTAAAAATTAAGCCAAAAAGATTCTGTTTAAAGATTCAGACTTTAGGCATTCAGGTTTAGACATTTTGGCTGGATGTTTTATTGAGGGGTAAGAAACCAGAAAGTGGATAATTCATTTAAAAATAACATAATTTTGAAAAATATAATTGCATATGTAGCCCTAAGTTAAATAATGAAACTGTACTCAGCAGTGCAAAAACTGTACTACAGTAATTCCATTCCACCCTCCACCCCCAGAACATAAAAGAAGTTTTGATAGATTACCTGGTAAAAATACCATCCACAACTCCAACTGTGGACTCCTCTGCAGGAACATAGGAACCAATCTGTGCCATGATCGTGATCAGTGCAACTTGTTTTATGTAGGAGCTCTTTCCACCCATGTTGGGTCCAGTAATTATCATTACCCTTTCTTTGTCCCCCTGGAAAATGCAAAACAGCTGTTAAATATACACTATTGAGATGGAGTGTTTATTTATCTGACAGTATGTTTTACAATGATGTATGTACAAAGGGTATGTTCTCAGTATTTAATATGCCTTCTACATAATAAAGTTATTTTCCTGAGGGGAAGAAGCAGCAGCTTAAAAAGAAAATTATTTACTTCTAATAATAATTCTTTGAAGAAACCATTTAATGGGATATCCACTTTTGTTGCTCCGTGTACAGTGTGACACTAGTGGGAATTCCCCTAATTTCATAAGAATGTTGACTCTGTGCTTGAAAAGGTTGTATTTTCTAATATGATTAGAAATTTATCCTTCCATCCCACACTACATTACTACAGTAATAATGGTGCAAAACACTACGTTTTACAAACCACTACTGCAGCATTAGAACGGCCATACTGGGTAAGACCAATGGTCTATCTAGCTCGGTATCCTATCTTTCGACAGTGGCCAGTGCCAGATGTGTCAGAGGAAATGAAAAGAACAATACAATTATCAAGTGGTCCAGCCCCTGCTTCTGGCCATCATAGGCTTAGGGACATCCAGTGCAGAGATTACATCCCTGACCATCTTGGCTAACAACCACTGATGGACCTATCCTCCACGAACTTATCCAATTCTTTTTTGAACCCAGTTACACTTTTGGCCTTCACAACATCCCTTGGCAATGAATTCCTCAGGATGACTGTGCGTTGTGTGAAGTAATACTTCCTTTTGTTTGTTTTAAACCTGCTGCCTATTAATTTCATTGGGTGACCCATGGCTCTTGTGTTATGCCCAGGGGTAAATAACACTTCCTTATTTACTTTCTCCAGACCATTCATGATTTCATAGACCTCTACCATATTCTTTCAAGATGAACAGTCCCAGTCTTTTTAATCTCTCCTCATATGGAAGCTGGTCCATACCCCTATTCATTTTTGTTGATCTTCTCTGTATGTTTTCCAATTCTATCTTTTTTGAGATGGGTGACCAAAACTGTATGCAATATTCCAGGGGTGAACGTACCATGGATTTATATAGTTGCATTATGATATTTTCTGGCTTATTATCTATTCCTATCCTAATGGTTCCTAATATTGTATTACTTTTTTGACTGCCACTGCACATTTTGTGAGATCCCTTTGTAACTTTTCACAATCGGCTTTGGACTTAACTATCTTGAGTAATTTTGTATTGTCTGCAAATTTTGCCACTTCACTGTTTACCCCTTTTTCTAGATCATTTATGAATATGTTGAACAGCACTGGTTCCAGTACAAATCTTGAGGACCGCACTATTTACCTCTCTTCACTATAAAAACAGACCTTTTATTCCTACCCTTTATTTCTATCTTTTAACTCATTACTAATCCATGAGAGGACCTTCTCTTTTTACCCGTGACTGCTTACTTTGCTTAAGAGCCTTTGGTGTGGGACCTTGTCAAAGGCTTTCTGAAAGTCCAAGTACACTATATCCACTGGTTCACCCTGTTCCACATTCTTATTGACACATTCAAAGAATTCTAACAGACTGAGATATGATTTGACTCTTCCACAACATATTGTGTTCATCTATGTGTCAGATAATTCTCTTCTTTACTATAGTTTCAACCAATTTGCCTGGTACTGATGTTAGGTTTACTGATCTGTTATTGTCAGGATCAATGCTGGAGCCTATTTTAAAAATCTGCAATTTCATATTTGAGTTCCTGCAGAACTCTTGGGTGAATACCATCTGGGCCTTGTGACTTATTACTGTTTAATTTATCAATTTGTTCCAAAATCTCCTTTATTGAAACCTCAATCTGGGATAGTTCCTTAGATCTGTCACCTAAAAGAATGGCTCAGGTGTGGAAATCTCCCCCACATCCTCTGCAGTGAACACCAATGCAAAGAATTCATTCATTTCTCTGCAATGGCCTTGTCTTCCTTGAATGTATCTTTAGCACCTTGATCATCCAGTGGCTCCACTGACTGTTTGGCAGACTTTCTGCTTCTGATATACTTTAAAAAAACAATAACCACCTTTGCTATTAGTTTGTGTCTTTTGCTAAATTGCTCTTCAAGTTCTTTTTTGGACTGCCCAATTATACTTTTACACTTGACTTGCCAGAATTTATGCTCCTTTCTATTTTCCTCAGTAGGATCTGACTTCCAATTTTTACAGGATGCCTTTTTGCCTCTAACTGCCTCCATTACTCTGCTGTTTAGCCATAGTGGCATTTGTATAGTTCTCGTTTTGTTTTGTTTTTAATTTGGGGAATACATTTGGTATTATCATGTTTTCAAACAGTTTCAAATGCAATTTGCAGGCGTTTCATCCTTTTTACTGTTCCTTTTAATTTTCATTTTTATAGCGTCCTCATTTTTTTGTAGTTCCTCTTTCTGAAGTTAAATGCTACTGTGGTGGGTTTTTTTGGTCCCCCCCCCCCCCCCCCGCTTCAAGGATGTTACATTTAATTATATTATGATTATTATTTCTGAGTGGTTCAGCTATATTCACCTCCTGGACCAGATACTGTGCACCACTTAGGACTAATTCAAGAATTGCCACTCCCCTTGTGGGATCCAGGACTAGCTGCTTCAAGAAGCAGTCATTAATGGTGTCTAGAAGTTTTACCTCTGTATCCCATCCTGAGGTGACATACCCAGTCAATATGGGGATTTTATTGGGTTTTTTTGGTGTGTGTGTTTGTAGCCACTCTTATCTCCCTGAGCATTTCACAGTCACCATCACCATCCTGGTCAGGTGGTTGATAGCATATTCCTACTGCTATACTTTTATTATTCAAGCATGGAATTTCTATCCATTGAAATGTGATTCATTTAAGATTTTTACTATATTTGACTCTATGCTTTTTTTCACATAAAGTCCCATTCCCCCACCTACAAGACCTACTCTATCATTCTTATATATTGCGTACTCTGGCATTACTGCATCCCATTATCATTCCACCAAGTTTCTGGGATGCCTATTATATCAATATCCTTGTTTAATACCAGGCAAGTTCACCCATCTTAGTATTTAAACTTCTAGAATTTGTATACAAGAATTTATCAAATGTATCAATATTTAGTTGTCTGCCTTCATGTGATATAACTGAAGGGGACTTTTTTTTATTTGGCAGTTTCTCTTCAGTTCCTGCCTGTACTTCATCAAGTTCTATCTTTTCCTCTTTACTAGGACCTAAAGTAGCCCCTTTAATAAACCTTCCCCTAAGGAATGCCTCTGCCCAATCTGTCTACTCCTCTGCATCTCTCAGCTTTCTCCCAGCCCTTATTTGGACTGACTATTGTATAACACTAATATTTTTTCTTTCATAAGGACTACCCTGACAACACTTTAAAAGCTGTTGCAAATGTACCAATATTAACTGCCAATATTTTTAAGTATTCACAGTTTTATAACTTCATCAGTATTTTAAAATGTGTGCAGTGATTAACACTTAGACTTAATTCCTCTCGTAATAAAGAATCTAGAATTCTCATAATTTCTATTTTTAATTTGGATTATTTAAGTGATATCCCTGTTTCTGTACATGAAGAAAGAATCATGGTACTTCTAGGACTCCCATCATCAAATCTGACCACCACCCAAATATTTAAAAATGGATATATCTCTATTTCTTATTTCCCAGCCTGTAGAAGAAATAGCTTGTTTACACAAATATGTTTTGAAGTAATAAAACCAACTTTTAGGTTTGAAGTCCTATCGTAAACTTGATACACAGGAAGAATAGTTCATGAACATTTTTAAGACGAGATCAAGTGAGGAGGAGACATGTTCATGTTATGGCCCTGATAGAAAGGCTCTAGCAATAGTTTCAGGCAGGTAAAAAACACAGTTCAAGGCATTTCTGCAGGCACAGTCTCCTGATAATTCAAACTGTTTTATTTAAAAAGAGAAGCATTTTGATGAACTAGGTTCCGACCCACCATCCACAGAAAAGTAGAGAGAGCTGGAAACAACACTAGAATCAACACTGATTATGCCAATATCACCCGGATTCTATCTATTGCTTCTGTAACATATGAGTTGCTAAATTATAACATTAGAACATGGCTAACAGAAAAATGTAAGATGATTATTGAATAAAATGCCAGATTTTTTGGAAATACCTTTTGTAATTAGTTCTGAGTTGCAGAAGAATTTTTTAATGTTCATTTTGCACGGAAGCAACATACAACACTTTTATATCAACATTCTATAATAGCTTTGAAAAATAATTCATATGTAAATGTATGCAGTACAAGGTAGAATATATTTTACCATAGCAACAGTTCCATATCAACACCCACAATAAACATAGAAAAATAAAGTATGCAAAGGCAGCTGATGTTCAGAAGTAGGTTGAAAGTATTTATTTCTGTTTGAACAAAGCAGAAGTGTAATATTACAAAAAAAAATTGAGGTGAATATTTAGTGGCAAGGATTAAAAGACCTTGCAATTCCTGAGAGAGATTTTAGTTTCTCAGAACTTAACACGTCCCTTCCCCCAGCCAAAATCATAATAGATGTGTTTCTCAGAAATATCCATATAAAATAAAAATATGATCTAATATTTTTCTGCATTAGCTGTATGTTAATACAAATCTTTTGTAATAATGCTTATGGTTCCTTAGAATAACCTCTTAAATTCCATTTTTCCCAACCCTAATCATACTGTCTTTTGAGGTCACCTTTTCAATTTGTTTGTGCCACTTGTCTGAATGATGCTGTAGAAGTGTGCAACTGGCTGTTTGAAATCAGCAAAACATTGATAATCAAGCAATGTGGTAAAACAGATGTGGACATGGATTCAAGAGAGATCTTTTGAAATGCAAGCAAGCAGCCATCTGTATAATTAAATTATTTATTTAATTTCCTGGACCAGAAGCAAATTCTAGAATCCTTCCTTTGACTGATATTCAATCCCTCATTATAGCCCCATACTTACGGATAGGTTGGTGCTGTTTGGAACATACTGATCTTGTTCTCCTAGCAGTATATCAATCACAGGGTGTCTGCCATTTTTTATAATTATTTTTTCCCCTTTATCTTGCACAACTGGTCTGCACAAAGAAGTAGACGTCAGTACACTGTTCATTACATTTAATTATTTAGGAATATCATGATAAAATCTTAGGGAAGGCATTCTAAACAGCATACAGATATCTTTTCAATAAACCATAAACAGATGAAAAATGAATTCTAGTGCAGAGTTATGCTGAATCCATGATTCTCACACAGATGGCAGATGTGTGGATTTGTGGGACTTTTAAAAAGAGATGTGAAACATTATGGGATGCAGATAAAATTATGGGATGGAGAAAACTGCATCCTGGGGCACTGAAACCATGTTCCCAGTCACCCCTGCGCAACTCATTTGCTCCCATGAAGCACTGCAAACCATTCCCAAAACACACTGCACTAGATGGTGGCGAGTTGCACAGTGGGATAGTTACCCATGGTGCACTGCCCTGTGCATTGATGCAAGCGCTTCTAGTGAGGACATGCATCGCCGACACAAGGAGTGTAAAGTGGACATGCACAGGCGATTTAATTACTGCGGTGACTGTATGTTAATGTAACTCAGGCCTGGTCTAACCTACAGAATTAGGTTGACATAAGGCATCTTACATTGACCTAACTCTGTAAGCGTCTAGACTAAAATGTCCCTCCCACTACACCCACTTAATAACTCAATCTTCACGAGAGGCATAGCGCTTAAGTCGATGTAGATAGGTCGACACAGTGTCTGTGTAGACAGTGCCTTGCTTACATCACCTGTTGCCACTCAGTGCTGACAGCTGGAGCCCTGCGGCCCCGGGGCTGACAGGCGGGGCAGCGGGACGATAGCTGTCAGCCCCGGGGCGATGAGGGGATTACAGTGGACGAGAAGCTGGATATGAGTAAGCAGTGTGCCCTTGTTGCCAAGAAGGCCAACGGCATATTGGGCTGTATTAGAAGGAGCATTGCCAGCAGATCGAGGGAAGAGATTATTCCCCTCTATTCAGCACTGGTGAAGCCACACCTGGAGTATTGCGTCCAGTTTTGGTCCCCCCCACTACAGAAGGGATGTGGACAAATTGGAGGGAGTCCAGCGGAGGGCAACGAAAATGATTAGGGGGCTGGGGCACATGACTTATGAGGAGAGGCTGAGGGAACTGGGGTTATTTAATCTTCAGAAGAGAAGAGTGAGGGGGGATTTGATAGCAGCCTTCAACTACCTGAAGGGGGGTCCCAAAGAGGATGGAGCTCGGCTGTTCGCAGTGGTGGCAGATGACAGAACAAGAAGCAATGGTCTCAAGTTGCAGTGGGGGAGGTCTAGGTTGGATATTAGGAAACACTATTTCACTAGGAGGGTGGTGAAGCACTGGAATGGGTTACCCAGGGAGGTGGTGAAATCTCCATACTTAGAGGTTTTTAAGGTCCGGCTTGACAAAGCCTTGGCTCAGAGGATTTAGTTGGTGTTGGTTCTGCTTTGAGCAGGGGATTGGACTAGATGACCTCCTGAGGTCTCTTCCAACCCTAATATTCTATGATGAGGCTCCGGCTGTCAGTGCCCCACAATGCCCGACTTAAGTCAGTGCAAGCGCACCTGATAAGGATCTGCACCAACAGAAGGAGCATAGTGTGGACACGAAGAGACGATTTAATTACTGTGGTGGCTGTAACTCGATCTAACTTAAATTGATTTAATTTTGTAGTGTAGACTTGCCCTCAGGGTGTCACAGCTAAATACAAGGTAGAACAGATGGTTTAGCACAGGGATCGGCAACATTTTGCACACGGCCCGCCAAGGTAAGCCCCCTAGTGGGCCGGGCTGGTTTGTTTACCTGCCATGTCCACAGGTTTCGGCCGATCGCAGCTCCTACTGGCCGCGGTTCACCGCTGCAGGCCAATGGGGGCTGCGGGAAGCCGCGGCAAGCACATCCCTCGTCCCACGCCGCTTCCCGCAGCCCTCATTGGCCTGGAGCGGCGAAACGGCCAGTGGGAGCCGTGGTCGGCCGAACCTGCGGACTTGGCAAGTAAACAAACCGTCCCGGCCCTGCCAAGGGGCTTACCCTGGCGGGCCGCATGCCAAACGTTGCCAATCCCTGGTTTAGCATAAGGAGATAACGTTGTAAAAGACCACTCAAGGTGAAGTGGGCAATTAATACCTCTGTAGTCGTAGGACAAAGGACATCTAACAAAGTATTAACAGCCCAAAAAACACTGTAGTAGCATTTCAACTATCAAGAAGAGTTCAGAGAGAGTACTGAATGGGCTTCTCTATTATGCTAGATATTTTCACAGGGATTATTCATAAATGCTGATTCATAGCTTGACAATGTACTTTCAAATTATTGTAAAATTTTGAAATTTAAAAAAGTAAATCTGCCTAACAAATAGTGACTGTGCTATTATGACACACTATTTTAGAAAAAGTAATTCACTGTCTATATTTTTCTAGTCATTCATTGAAGTCATTCAAGTTTTTTAAAATTAAATAATTTACGGTGGAATGCAATGAAGTATCTTTATACCAACATTTCTTAAAATTCTGCAAATTTACAGTTTGTGAAAATTGATATAGAAACACAAGACAGACAATATATCCAAAATATTCAAACTCAGAAATGCTAAAGTGAGCTAATGTGAAGGTCCGAATTCCAAACTTTCTTTCAGTAACCCTCAAAAATTAATTATTGACATCTTCCCTGTGGGTTAACACATTAGAGAATTGTAGTAATTCCTTCTGAAGCTTAACTGATAGGCCTGCTCCCTGCCAGTTTAAAAGCTCTAGCCACTGTTTAATATTTGATGAATTATTTAAAGTCCCCATAGTGAATTAATCAGATCTTAGTTTGTTTTCTCATCTGAGTATACAGGAGTAAGATACCAATTCTCTGTAGACCTTGACCGAGATAAGCAAAGTTCTCAAAGGTCCAAAAGTGATCAACATTAGAGAGAGTTGACTTCACTTACACGACACACATTTAAATACACTTCCAAAGGGCTCTTTTTTCTAAAGCAATTTTCTGATAGCTTGCAGATGAAGCCAGCTCACAGTTTATCCATTTACCTATAATTTATTGAAGTTTAATAATATTAAGTAAAATATATTTTAATTGTTTAATATATCCAACTGTTACAATATCTCACAATAGCATTATTATTTATTCCTTCAGTATGACTTAGGAAAAGTATTCTTTTGCAATGATTTCAAGTGTATACCTAATTCTACTTTAGTAAATTTATAGAATATGTTTAGAATATTTTGGAAATCAAGACAAATTATGTAACAGAAAATTATTTAGCTAAATACATTTTTGTTTTACTGTTAGTTGTTTCCACTAAGCTTTGTATTTACTTCTGCATAGGAAAGGCATTTGAGAAAAGTTTTAAGTGGGTATACAAACCATAAGCCATCAACAGAAGGGAAAATTTATGGGCTGATAAATATTAGGACTAATAGTTTGAAACACTTAAAGCTCTCATATAATCTGTGGAAATCATCATCTGCAAATATATATTCTTTGTTAATAGAAATGTTAGTACTAAAAAGAGAAAGATCAAAATTTTTTGTATTCTAAATATAATAAAACAGTCTTATAAGAACAAGTGAACAAAATTCTCTCTCTTCATATTTACTCAGCTTTACACCTAAGTTCCCTCTAAGCTGCGCAGCAGGCTATAAAGGGGCTCACAGAAGTGCAGCAACAGGGGCCTGGCAGGGAGGGGAGCAAGTTGGGGCATGCAGGCCAGGGCTGCCGTTGGCCTCTTCCCTGGCCCCAGAGCTCCTGTCGGCGGGGAGAGGGCCCCAGCCCCAGGGCTGCTGCAGGTTGGGAGAGGGCTGGGTGGAGTCCTCTGACCCTAGCCCCAGGGCAACCTGCATCCCAAATTTCTCATCCCCAGCCCCACCCCAGAGCCCGCACCACCCGCTGGAGCCCTCCCCCCCCCCCCCACCCTCTACCCCAGCCCTGAGCCCCCTCCCAAATTCCAAACCCCTCGGCCCCACCCCTGCCACATATCACCTCCATATTGGTGCACAAACAAATTTCATTCTGCACATGGATATAAAAGATTTGCCGGAACATTGCTTTACACCAATATTGAAAGCTTTAGCAGAGGTGTTATTTGGTATGTCAGCTGAGGACTACTAAATTGAAACAGACTGAAAATTGATCAGCACTGCAGACATTTCAGGACCTACTCCCTGGAAGCATAAAGCTTTGGCCCCAATCCCTACAAAGATTTACACAAGTTTAATTTGACACACTGTGAACACTTCATTTGAAGACAATGGAACTATGCACGTATGAGTAAATTGTTGTTGATAAAATGCAAGTCTTTCTAAAAACTTGTTTTTGTCTTTGCATTATGTAATTTAGATGGTAAACTCATCAGGGTTGAGACCATGCCTTAGTCTACGTTTGTAAAACAATGCTGAAACTTATAGTACTAGCAACATATTTATCAGTACATTTTACTGTACTAAGTACGTCAGATCAAAGCTTATTTTAATATTCTACCTTTTAAATCAATAAACAACAGTTTAAAACTGATTACCTGCAATAGGCTCCTTGTTTAGCAACCTTGGCCAATGAGAAAATGCAGTCAACAGTTGCTAGGTGACTAACCGCCTTCAACACAGAGTGATAATATTCACTAAAATGACTATATATGTATAGAAGGGAGAAAATAATGAATAAAATAAATAAATAAATAAATAGCTTCATATGAATCCACATGTATTGTCAAAAAATAGACTTTGCTTGGCTCTCACAGGGCTCTTATGGTATTAAAATTGCACTAAAATCAAATCTCCCAGCAGTCTGTCAAACTTATAATGTGAGAACTCAATCTTAATCATGATGAACTTCATATTCATAGTGTAACCCGGTATTTTTTCTGCACATTAAAAGGAAGGCAAAATGAAATTAATTAGCTAGTATATAAAGGATCTGCAGCTGATCCCTGCTGCCTAATGGACTCTACAAAAATGCTCCTGTTTATCACAGTGGCTGACTGAACTCTGTCACTCACTTCAACTGTAAGTTATCGTAAGAAAAAAATCAAAAAATTGTCCTGACACAGGAGCTCTCCAGGGTCTCTTACAAAACAAGGCTCTTCACCATGGAAAGTTCATAATTTCATTTCCCTTTCTGAGTACAGTTCCTTCAATACATGTATGAAGTTAACAGAGGCAAAAGACAAAGTTTTCAGTAGACTCATTCCCTTAGCCTTAATACATTTCTTCCCTTTCCTGTTAATTAATTTACAGTAGGAAAATTTAAAGGTATCTACAGTTCTACTTGTAAAGTTGGAAACATAAGGGAAATACAAAACAGTGTAACTCTGATTTTCCCATCTCTATACTGCTCTAGCAGCAAATGTGGGAAATTCACCAAAATAGAAGACAATTTGAAGGAGAAGAACTCAAAAAATTAAAAATGGATCATAAATCAAAGTATCTAAACTCCACAGATGAGAACCAAAGTTAAGAGGCTTACGGCAAAAAGGATGTGAATCCAATCACTGTCCAAAGAGGTTTAAGCCAAAAAGTTGGAAGAATAACTTTTAAACTAGGGCTGTCAATTAATCACAGTTAACTCACACTATTTACTCAAAAAAATTAATCACGATTAAAAAGTTAATCGCGATTAATCACAGTTTTAATTGCACTGTTAAACAATAGAATACCAATTGAAATGTATTAAATATTTTGGATTTTTTTATATTTTCATATATATTCTATTCTGTGTTGTAATTGAAATCGAAGTTTTTTATTCAAATATTTGCACTGTAAAAATGATAAACAAAAGAAATAGTATTTTTCAATTCACCTCATACAAGTACTGTAATGCAATCCCTTTGTCGTGAAAGTGCAATTTACAAATGTAGATTTTTTTTTTGTTACATAACTGTACTCAAAAAACAAAACAATGTAAAACTTCAGTGCCTACAAGTCCACTCAGTCCTACTTCTTGTTCAGCCAATCGCTAAGACAAACAAGTTTGTTCACATTTAGAGAAGATAATGCTGCCCTCTTCTTATTTACGTCACCAGAAAGTGAGAACAGGGATTTGCATGACACTTTTGTACATGCTAAACATTTGTGTGCCCCTTCATGCTTCAGCCACCATTCCAGAGGACATGCTTATGACGCTTGTTAAAAAAAGAATGCGTTAATTAAATGTGTGACTGACTCCTTGGGAGATAACTGTATGTCCCCTACTCTGTTTTACCCACATTCTGCCATATATTTCATGTTATAGCAGTCTCGGATGATGACCCAGCACATGATGTACATTTTAAGAACACTTTCACTGCTGATCTGACAAAATGCATAGAAGGTACCAATGTGAGATTTCGAAAGATAGCTACAGCACTCAAGGTTTAAGAATCTGAAAGGGACAAGGTGCGGAGCATGCTTTCAGAAGTCTTAAAAGAGCAATGCTCCGATGCAGAAACTACAGAACCCGAACCACCAAAAAAGAAAATCAACCTTCTGCTGGTGGCATCTGACTCAGATAATGAAAATGAACATGCGTCGGTACACACTGCTTTGGATTGTTATCGAGCAGAACCCGTCATCAGCATGGAAGCATGTCCCCTGGAATGTTGGTTGAAGCATGAAGAGACATATGAATCTCTAGAGCATCTGGCACATAAATATCTTGCGATGCCAGCTATAGCAGTGCCATGAGAACACCTGTTCTCACTTTCAGGTGACTGTAAGTAAGAAGCAGGCAGCATTATCTCCCATCAAACCTGTTTGTCTTAGCGACTGGATGAACAAGAAGTAGAACTGAGTGGACTTGTAGGCTCTGAAGTTTTACATTGTTTTGTTTTTGAGTGCAGTTATGTAACAAAACAAAAAAAAGAAGCAGGCAGCATTATCTCCTGCAAATGGAAACAAACTTGTTTGCCTGAGCAATTGGCTGAACAAGAAGTAGGACTGAGTGGACTTGCGGGCTCTAAAATTGTACATTGTTTTATTTTTGAATGCTGTTTTGTTTGTACATAATTCTACATTTGTAAGTTCAACTTTCATGATAAAGAGATTGCACTACAGTATTTGTATTTGGTGAACTGAAAAATACTATTTCTTTTGTTTTTTTACAGTGCAAATACTTGCAATCAAAAATAAATATAAAGTGAGCACTGTACACTTTGTATTCTGTGTTGTAATTGAAATCAATATATTTGAAAATGTAGAAATCATCCAAAAATATTTAAATGGTATTCTTATTGTTTAACAGTGCGATTAATCATGCAATTAATTTTTTTAATTGCTTGACAGCCCTATTTTAAACTGCTATGAAATTCAAAGCCCACTTTTGATAAACAAAGAACAATTTGAGTAAACTCTACCTAGATATAAAACTTCCATCATATGCAAGTAGTGAGGGGCAGTATTACTGAAATAATGTTTCTAATGAAAGCACAGTTATAGATAATAAGATGGTTAAAATCCAAGATGAATGCTTGCAGAGAATCTGAACAATTATCTGAGACACTGACTGTGGATATTCTGAACATCCTCAACACAGAAACGTATCAGTATTATTATACGTTACAGCAAATTATGCCTTAATTCTTCAATAATTAAACACTTAATGATGAACTCAGGCAATATTTTAATATACTATAATGTCTTAAAAGGACAGTCAGCTTAAAAATCGTACATTACAAATGTCTTTACCTATGTCACTAAAAACATTTATGACTATTAAAAGTGAAAAAATAATAAAAATTCAATTTGCTTGTTACAATGGATGACCTTTGTTTTCTTTTTCAGTTACTTTGAACTTGAACAATAAAATCACTAAAGTCAGTTTCACTTTCTTTTGAAATCAGTTGCCTTTCAGGTTCTTAGTGCTGCAATATTTAGGTTTAAATATAGCTCCCCAGTATTTGTTTAAAAACTGATTTCATTGGAATTTAAAATACCGAGGAAACATTCCTGTTAGTCTTAGATTTTATAAAATCTTATTTTAAGAGCTTTAAATTTAGGACCATATTTTAGTTTAGTTTCTCATAAGGCAGTCTACAAGAAATCTAATCAGCAATTTCTTCTTTTCATTTTGAGAAACATTTTCTTCTCTTGCTTTCATAGCTAGAAAAAACAACAACAACAAAAACCCAAAACAAACCAAAAACCATCAGATTCTACTTTTCATTGTAAACTCACTCTAAAAAATTTAGCCATTCAGCATTGCAGTCAAGGACTAGCTGCTCCCGGAGCTGATTCAGATGTCTGTAATTTTCTACAATAAAAGGAGAGTGGAAACGGCTGACAGCTTTTGTGCTAGAAGAGAAGAAAAAAAAGCAAGGTTACTAAGCAATCAATTATGCCATCAATGTGGAAAATTAGACTAGTTTTCTTATTCTCTGTGAGCCTTGAAAATAAATAGATATAAAAAAATGCATGTTCTATTATTGTACTGCTGAACTCTGTTGATTCCAATAATCTTTATTGTAAATAAAGTACTTGGTTACTATGGTGCAGTCAGTGCAGAAAGCTTCTGAAATACATTTCAGAATGTAATATAAATGGCCAAAGAGCATGGCATACAATATTCTGCTTAGCAACAGAGGTTTATCTTCTTTAAAAAAGCACAAATGGATGACTTTTTGTGACTAATAGTGATTGTACTTATAACATAAACATCAAACAATTTCACAATGATGACCTCACTGAGGAAGATTTATTGGTAGCCTAAGGCAAAGTTAGTAAACACAGGCTGTGTGTTGCATGAATGCTAGTTTGATTTGGGATACTTTTAAAAAAAATAAAATCTCTTTTTTGACATTAGCACACATTATCTTGCAAGTTACAGAGTAATTATAATGTATTGTTTAAGACCTTAGTTATAGGCTACTGTATATACTTTTCTTATTGTTGCTCTTCCATAAACCAATAGCCAAACAGCACGTAACTGGAGCATGCTTTATTATGCCTATTACTGGGTTAGATAATATTAAAGAATATTATCCCTCTCTCGATTACCTTGACCATTCAAGTACTAACTGACCTTGTTAGTCATCTGTGCAATTGTGATCACATATTACATTTTTCATTTTTAAGGTGCTCAACACACTATTTAAATAATACATCAGAAGTCAGAGAAGGAAAAAGCCAATTAGATCATCGAGTCCATCCTCGTCTCATCGACCAGAAACCCCACCCGCCACCCAAATAGCTAAAGCAATTCTTATGTAACATAATCAACAAAGCAATCAAGGAGTGTAAAATGACATTTTAATGACAATAATTTCATTCAGATACACAAATGTCATATCTTTAGATGGCTAAGTTTATAGCTCTGAATAAATAAATATAAAAACCACCATGACTATGTGAATAGGGTACTGTGTGTGCATGTATGTGTACACACACACATATGTATAACATATATATTATGGAATACAAACAAATTAAGAAAAATAATTTGCACACAAATTTCTATTGAGGTGAGTTTTTTTTGTTTTTATTTCAGGGTCAAGTATAATATTGTTGTTAAGGCTCTATCCTGCTAAACATTTCTTCCAGGAACTCAACTTCCCAGTATTTTACAGACTTTACTATAACTGTATAAATAAAAGGGTTTTTTTTGTTTAATTGCTTTTGAAAACTGTTTAAGGTTGGGCAAATAGAAAAATATATACTACCTACATTTTAATAATAAAAGAAGAATTATATTATAGTTCTGTCTATGTGCTGGAAGAAAACAAAAATTGAAGACATTTTTACATACCTACCAACCTTAACCCAATCCGAGGGTACAGAAGATAAGAGTGAATTCTTGACTTCTATCAGAAACTAAAATAAATAAAAAATGTTTACACTTTAAAGATGTGATTATTAGACTATTCAACCAAGTTCTTCATACACAAAAATGTCTGTGTGCAAGGAATATTGTTTGACTCCTGGTAGTGTTCACAATTATGATGAACTATGTCCACATGCTTAAGAAGACACAGCCCAGCCCCGAATATATTCAAACTGGGGGGATTTTGAAGAAAACATCCTGTATGCCTGGGGTCTGCACAAACAAGTTATCTTTTTTCATTCTCACTCCAATCTCCCATACAGAAAACAAATCCCTTTTCTCTGAATACCTGATGGCCATTAACTAGCCAGAGACTAAGTTCCAGCATAATCCATGCACAGTTATTTCTCTCTATACAGTGGATTTATGCAAGCCCTTTACTCTGACTGGCTACTGCAAATGCCCCTATTTTGACTGGATACTGTGTTTAGAAACCCTCAGTGATAGGTCTACAACTAACAGGGATTCATAAACTCCTGACCATCTTCCCACTCACACTAACCTGAAATATCAAATAGAATCCAATTTAAAGAGAGATTACTTTCTAAGTAGGAGTCTTCCACCAGGGTAAATGAGGAGTTGGGGAAGCAATGCATTCAGAAGACAGGGTTTAGTGTGGGTAATGGGGTAAGGAAAGTGTCAGAAACTGAGGCAGCTATATTTGCTGTGGGCATGGTGACTGAGAATTAAAAGGAGTGGTCAGGGAGTGTGCAGAAATTCATAGGAGACAAGTACAGCATGTGGGTAAAAGTAAGAAGAGAACATTTCAGTATAACAACTTGAAGCTGTGTCCTCTTAACCCAGTGATAACTGGAGCTGGTTGGAAATTTTTCAAAGGAATGTTTTTCCATTGGAAAATGCCAATTCATTGAAATCAAAATGTTGCTGATTTCTTTCATGACAAAAATAGACAATATATGAAGTGATCTTCTCCCGCACTTTGGTTTCCTCCCTTCTCCCCCCCTACATTCTCCTCCTCCTCTCCAGTCACAGATGCGGAAGATTCTCATCTGTACTTCTCCTCTAGCCTCTCCACTTGCACCAGGGACCCCAACCCATCCCATTTTCATCTCCTCCCATACTCTTCTCTTTAACCTATAGGCCTTTCCCCTAACCATACAGACATGCTTTAGTCTCTCCCATCTTAAAAAAAATCCTTTCCTTAACTCCACTTGCCTCTCCAATCACCACCCCAACTCTCCCTTCTTTTCACTCCTAAACTCACCAAGAACACAAAGTGTAGAGTGCTCACTTTATATTACTATTTTTATTACAAATATTTGCTCTGTAAAAAAGATGAACAAAAGATACTGCAACCTAGAAGTCAAAGCATGAAGGGGCATATGAATGTTTAGCATATCTGGCACTTAAATACCTTGCAACACCAGCTACAACAGTGCCATTTGAATGTCTGTTCTCACTTTCAGGTGACTAAGTAAGAAGCGAGCAGCATTATCTCCCATCAAAACTTACACTTCATAGTAGTATATTATTATTTATGCTATGCCAGAGATGGTATTTTCTAAATAAGAACACAAGGTCACTAATTTCAAAACTTTACAATTGAAACTAAATTATCACACCCAGAAAAAATAAGTAATGGGTCAAGGGAGAGATATGGGAAAGAGTAGGTTAGAACAGTGAAGATTATGTGAAATATTTATTGTTACATATTGTGTGACCCATGTTAGTTATTTTTTTAAAAAGTCAGTAAGTGAGATAGACTTGAGAAAGAAGGGAGGTGTTCTTAGATGAAAGGATTCAGCTGTAAAAAGAATTTTCAGCAGAGATTAGATTAATACACAATCCGACCACCTTTAGGACATGCTGCAAGACTCCCCTATTTGATAAAGCTTTTCCACTATAACCACTATGATTTAGATAACCAACCTTCCCCACCTCACGAACACAACCCAGCAATCACCCCAAACATAGCCTCCTGTAACCAGGGAAAGAAGAACAAGAACAGAATACTCCATGAAGTCTACTATGGACACACTATACAGCACTGTTTACCTGGGAAGAATTTAGATGCTACAATTGTCACTATAAAATCCCTAAAATAGATTAATTAGATAATGAGATAGCTGCAGTTAGGAGCAATGCTGTGTAGGGGCTTGAAAGTGAAGAGAGTAAACTGTTTCTAACAACAATAGGGTTGCTGGTATGCTGGTTTTACAGCTTTTTTAAACAGCTTGCCTCCTGATTAACTTCAATATATTGATATGATGGAGCACTGCAATCGTCCCATACTCTGTCCATATTTATTATCTAATGAACTCAAAACAGCCTACAATCACCAAATTAGTCAGTATGTGTTCCTAACACCTGTAGCAAGAAGTGAATGTAGAGATTTCAAGATCTCCTGGAAAATACTGAATGCTAATGATTTTTCATCCTTTAATTCTTAGCTCAATCAGATAAGCACTTACAGTATTTTATTAAATGGTAGCTGAAGCACTGCTTATGCCATACAGGAAGCAAACAGTTGCCAGATGCAGCAAATACTTTCTAATCCTTGCATGAAACAAACAGTGCTGCTATCACTAACTGGACAGCCCTCTGTTCTGTTTTGTGCCTAAAATGAATTGCATTAGAGGTCTGGAAACAAAAGATTAGATAGATATGGGTGTAACTTCATATGTTGTGGAAAAATACATCTGCCAAATGGAGCTTTATCTGAATTCCAAGAGGAAGTTACCACAAAATTTACGTCAATAGGAGTTGTGGACACCTACTGCCTCTGAAAATCATGTCCCGTGCTTAGGTTCTTAAGTATGGCTTTAGAAGCCACTCTTTAAGCATCTGGTTTATAAAATTTTGGCCCATGGTTCTCTACAGGATGATGCGTTTTCTACCCAGAATGTCCTGACTGGAAAGGTGAATAGCTAAAGTCTTTCCTACAGCTTTCCAGGAGAGTATACCCCTCTTCCTCAACAAACGCCAGCGAATAAGTCTTTCAAACTAAATATGAACAGCAAAGGTGTGATGTTATGAGTGTAATATAATATCTCATTGAAAGGTGACAGGGCCAGAAAGAGTTAATTACTTCCCAGACTGACCTAACCCATGGCTAAACTTTAGAGACTGGTTAGGAAGATATGTAAATGAACAGAGCTTTGAAATTCAAGTCTGCATTGTTAGAGATAGAAGGATAGATGTTTGCTCAGGTCTTGTGATGTAAGCAAACAAGTCTTGTCTATTGCTACAGCTTTGATTCAAAGATCAAAAAAGGAATATTAACATTTAGGAAGATACTTGAGTGAAATAGTATTATTGTCTATAGGTCTCTTTGAAGGTCGTGGTAACCTGTATCTGAACTGTTTAATGAATAAATTACCCTGTGCTAATTGCCAGGATGTTTGGAAGAAGGAGAGTTAAGCCTATTGTTTTCTCAGGCCAAAAGGCTGCTGGAAATGTATAAGAACCCTGGGACACGATCCTGCTTCATCTCAGATCTGCTTTGGGTTTCAAGAGGGGGAAACCTTAAGCCACAAGGATTGAGATCCCCAGTCGCTGACTGGAGTCACCCTGAATATGGACATGGGACTATAACCTATGGACTATTTCTAAAAGGACTTTTGGTAACTACAAGCTCATCTCTGCTGTGTATCTGAACCTCAAGAATTGAATTCAAGTCTGTATGTATATTGATCTTTTAACCAACTCTCTCTCTTTTCTTTTTTTAATAAACTTTAGCTTAGTTAATAAGAATTGACTATAAGCGTGTATTTTGGGCAAGATCTAAGTTATAATTGGACCTGGGTATATGGCTGATCCTTTGGGATTGGAAGAACCTTTTCTTTAATATGATGAGATAAGATTTTCAGTAATCAGCATCATATCTGACAGGTGTGTCTGGATGGAGGCCTGATGCTGGGCACTTTAAGGGAACTGCGTTGTTTGGACTTCTGAGTAACCAGTGAGGTACTACAGAAGCTGATTTGTGCTGGCTTGGTAAATCTAAGTTTTGGAATATCCACCAGCGTTTGGGGTTTGTCTGCCCTGTTCTGTTTGCAGTTCACCCTAATTGAGTGACCTCAGCAGGCTCCCATGGGTAGCACCGTCACAAAAGCCAAAATGGAAAATAAGTTAAGCAGAGATTTCTAGGGTGCATCCATTACAGAGAAGAACATTACCAGTAATTCACTTTGTCAGAGCCCTTCCTCTTCTCCCATCCTGTGGATAAGACAACAAGCCACATAGCACTCTCTACGAGGATGAGTGGAAGACAAATAGTGAAAAGCAGAGGTAAAGTTATAAGTTATAAGAATACTCAATTCTCAGCCCTTCAGTAAATTTTAAATGCATCAATTCCCAGCACAAAGAGAATCCCGCATAGCGCAAGGGGAGGAGGAAGGGATTCAGGGTGTGAGAAAAGTAGGGATTATGACAAACTGAATTACTAGCGAGTAATTTTCCCTTGTCATTCATTCCCTTCTTCTCCCATCTTATCAATAAATGTAGGCTCAACCAGTGGATATAGAAAGCAGTCTCATACGAGGAGATGGGCTTGCATGAGAAGTGACTTGAAAATCTTTAGGAGTTAACTCTGCCCCGTCACCTAAATTCACCTAAGAAAGTGTGATGAAATTGTTAGGCAGGGATTATGTGACCCTTGAGTTTTCCAGTGTAGGGACCTCAGCCCTCTTAGCCCGGAGGTAGAAAGGTGGAGTCTTGAGCAATTGTTCACAAGTCAGGTTAATACATTACATTAGTTAATGACTGATACAGGCCTGGTAGCCAGCCATCCTACTTTGGGTCTTGGAAATGGACAAACAGTTCTTGTCTTCCTAAAGCAGCTCCCCCTGTGGGCATACACCTCTACCCCGCTATAACACGACCCGATATAACACGGGTTCGTGTAGAGTGCGGTAGCAGCGGGGCTCCGGCGGCGCTTTAAAGGGTCCGGGTCTCCGGCTGCTGTGGGGAGCCCCAGGCCCTCTAAATCACCGCTGGAGCCCTGCCACTGCTACCTCGGGGCTGTGGCAGCAGGGCTCCACCGGCGATTTAAAGGGCCTGGGGCTCCCCGCAGCGGCTGGAGCCCGGAACTCTTTAAATCACCGCCAAAGCCCTGCCGCCCCTACCCCGATATAACGGTGTTTCAGCTATAATGCGGTAGGGATTTTTGGCTCCCCACGACTGCGTTATAGCAGGGTAGAGGTGTACCTCTGGGCAATTATGAACAGGGGTCAGGAGGACATCACCACTCTGCTCTTTCCATATTATTATATAGAAAAGTGGTTTTGGCTAGATCAGAGGGGGGTCTCAGGGAGGTTCCAGTATGGAAAAGAATGAGAATTTCTTTTTCTTAAAGTTGTAAACTTGTTTCTGAAAGTTGTACCAAGTAGGTAAAATTCAGTGGCTCACTCTATATCCAGAGAATGTAGTTTCTTTAAAGGAAATGGGAGGGATTTGTGTATTGGGTAAACAGGCCACAGGCTCTTTAACAGGGATGTTCAAAACTGTTTAGGAAGAAATTACTGAGGCAATTAAAATACCACCTTGTTATTTGAAAGACTGTAAGAATGAAGAGTCAAATTAGAAAGCTTAATTCAGCAACATGCTAAACTGAGGTTTAGCAACTAAATGAGCTACTTTCATAGTCAACACAAGCAAGATAAACTTTCATGCATGTCTTCACAGACTCGGAAGCACAGGAGGTCAGTTCAATTAAGGGATAATGCATCTCAAAACTGGTCTCTGTCTTTGAACTTGGAGGAATAAAGGATAGAAGCAAAAGCTTACTGGACCTCTGAACATCAAGACAGCTGAAACCAGAACTCAGTAAGGAAAGTTCAGACTCAAATTGAAAAGAAACTCTCAGACTTGTACTACGGAACAACGGAAGGGTGCATGCCTATCGATTAGAAAAGGTCATCCAGACCTATGATTAATCTCCTTGAGAGAAGGCTTGAGGGTGAAGCGCATCTCTGTATTTACTTCACTTATTTTTCAGGACATAATGTTCAGGGAGATGGAGCTGAATAATTGAACTAGGTCCTGGAGAAAATCATGAGTGATTAGGTGGGCCCCAATATGTGCTTCACTGCAAGATCGTGGAGTTTGGAGGACAGGGATTCTGAAGCCACTTGAGGCAACTAGGATGGATAATAGGGAATAAACTTCTTCCCCCAATTCCAGAAAGAATCCTGACAATGGGCTAAAGGCCCAAGAGAATCTGGTGTCCCTGGCACACCAATTCACAGAAGGAGTTCCCCACCAATGGGAGAATACTCCCTAGTGCACACCACTTTGCCCCAGGACAAGGGAATGGAACGTATGAGCTCTGGGATTCTCTCTCTCTTTTACCAGAAAGATAAAAAGTAGCAGATAAAAACAGAGCTAAGGCCTGAAACATAGGACTGCTCTCAGTGCTTCTGGGACAAAGGGAGTTGCAACTTAAAGCCATTATAAAACAACTATCACCTCCTGATTCTCCATATCAACTATCTGGTGATTCCAGATTGTATCCCTGGTTCTGTAGCATCCCCTACAAAAGATTCCAGGTGAGTCATACGACACTCCAGAGTCTCAGTCTCCCCATCCATAAAATGAAGAAAACAATCCTTTTCTGTCTCCCAGTGGAGTTAACTGTCCCCCCAGTCTCCCACACAACCATTGTGGGTTATGGGAAAACTTGTCTGTTCATTCCACGGGAGTTGACTGAAGTGTTTTGGGTCATTTTAGCCCCCCAACACAGCCAGCTGACCCATTATGTGTCCACATGCTCCCAGAAGCCAGCGCCAACAACATGGATCCTGATCTGGAGGAAGAATTTCTCCACCTCACACTGTTAGTTCTATTTCAGGAATCAGGCAGAGCCCCTGTAAGACACAGGTGGACATTTTACCAGCAGTTTTTAAACTGACAAAGGCACTTCTCAGAAAGTGATTCTCCCCAGGCAGACTGGTGCTTCTGGAGCAGGGCCACAAACACAGACTGGTTGGATCACATTGTCACGTGGACCTGGGATGACCAATAGTGGATCCAGCACTTTCGTGTGAAGCAGCATATATTCCAGGAGGTTTGTGATCAGTTTGTCCCAATATTCCAGTACTAGGACATCCTCATGAGAGGGGCCAGGCTGATCCAGAAGCAAGTTGTTGTAGTCATCTGGAAACTGGCTACCCCAAAATACTATAGTTGGCAGCCGGTATCAAGCGGAGTGCCCCAAGGGTCGGTCCTGGGGCAGGTTTTGTTCAATATCTTCATTAATGATCTGGAGGATGGCATGGATTGCTCCCTCAGCAAGTTTGCAGATGACACTAAACTGGGAGAAGTGGTAGATACGCTGGAGGGTAGGGATAGGATACAGAGGGATCTAGACAAATTAGAGGATTGGGCCAAAAGAAATCTGATGAGGTTCAACAAGGACAAGTGCAGAGTCCTGCACTTAGGACGGAAGAATCCCATGCACTGCTACAGACTAGAGACCGAGTGGCTAGGCAGCAGTTCTGCAGAAAAGGACCTAGGGGTTACAGTGGACGAGAAGCTGGATATGAGTCAACAGTGTGCCCTTGTTACCAAGAAGGTTAACGCCGTTTTAGGCTGTATAAGTACAAGCACTGCCAGCAGATCGAGGGACGTGATCATTCCCCTCTATTCAACATTTATGAGGCCTCATCTGGAATACTGTATCCACACTACAAGAAGGATGTGGACAATTGGGAAGTGTCCAGCAGAGGGCAACAAAAAGGATTAGGGGGCTGGAGCACATGATTTATGAGGAGAGGCTGAGGGAACTGGGATTATTTAGTCTGCAGAAGAGAAGAATGACGGGGGGATTTGATAGCTGCTTTCAACTACCTGAAAGGGGGGGTCCAAAGTGGATGGATCTAGACTGTTCTCAGATGACAGAACAAGGAGTAATGGTCTCAAGTTACACTGGGGGAGGTTTAGGTTGGATATTAGGAAAAAGGTTTTCACTAGGAGGGTGGTTAAGCACTGGAATGGGTTACCTAGGGAGGTGGTGGAATCTCCGTCCTTAGAGATTTTTAAGGTCAGGCTTGACAAAACCCTGGCTGGGATGATTTAGTTGGGAATTGGTCCTGCTTTGAGCAGGGGGTTGGACTAGATGACCTCTTGAGGTCCCTTCCAAGCCTCATATTCTATGATTCTATAGATCTGTGACTAACCAGTTTGGAGCTGGCAAATCAATTGTGGGGGTTGTTGTGGCAGGGGGTTGTTGTGGCAGAGCTTTGTGAGGCAATCAGGACTGTGATGTACCCAAAGACCGGGGGCATTACAAATGTTCCTGAAATAATAGCTGGTTTTGAGAGAATGGGCTTTCCAAACTGCACTGGGGCCTTTGATGAGACTCACATGCCTATAGTTTGGTCTTCGCAAGGAGCACATAAACCACAAAGGGTACTGCAGCATAATTATACAGGTTCTAGTCAACCACAGGGGTTGATTCATGGACACTAACATGGGATGCACTGGCAGGGTGCGTGATGCGAGATCAAGGTTAGGCTTGACAAAGCTCTGGCTGGGATGATTTAGTTGGGGACTGGTCCTGCTTTGAGCAGGGGGTTGGACTAGATGACCTCCTGAGGTCCCTTCCAACCCTGATATTCTGTGATTCTATGATTCTACAGGATAGCAGATTTAGATTAAATATCAGGAAAAACTTTCTAAGTGTAAGAACAGTGTACCTAGGGAGGTTGTGGAGGCTCCTTCATTGGATATTTTCAAAAGGATGCTGGATAGCCATCTGTCTTGGATGGTTTAGACACAACAAATCCTGCATCTTGGAAGGGGATTAGACTAGATGACCTTTTCTATCCCTTCTAACCCTATGATTCTACTCCCCCATTGGTCTGTGTATACCCATCTGCTATCTTATACTTATCCTGCAACCTCTCTGGGACACAGATCATATTTTTGTTCTGTGTTTGTACAGTATCTAATACAATGGGTCCTGGTCAATTGCTAGGACTCCTAAGTACTACAGTAATAGAAATAATAAATAAAAAAGAATGAGAGAATAGAGGGACAAATTACAAATTTTTACCAGTTCCTTAAAGATTATTTTTCTGTTCTGTAAAATTCTTTTAATGCTGTGCTTCCTGGTTCAATAAAAATATCCCAGAATATAACATCAGAAATGTTTTACCAAAAGTCTCAATGCAACCATGTTAACAGTCTTTGGAAGCCAAGTACTGATGGAAGCAAACTATTCATGAACCAAACTGAACTGTACTAAAAAGAATTCCATCCCCCACAAAACCCTGAAGACACTGCAAAGACAGAATATCCATGGTGAATTAAATAAAAAAGCGGTAAGGTAAGGACAATATTATTAAAAATAACAAGACAATAAGACAATGCATCCCAACATACTTCTTCTTGCAGCCAGAATTGTTTTTTTATCTAGTGACATGGTTTAATTAATCTTTCAGGTAAATGTAAGTTATTTTGTTGGCATGCACTGGTAGGCACATATAAATATCACTTACGTCATTTTGTGTATTACCTCTTGTCCTGATACTGTAACGTACTCTGCATGAGGGTTCTTTATCATTTGTCGTATTTCTTGCAGATGAAATTGGATCTGGGAAATCACCTTCTGAATATCATCCTTCTGCTTTCTGATAGTAGGGAAGTCTGTAAGATCCTTGAACAATTGGGTTTTATCTCCAGTTCTATTTATAGGAAACAGAAAAATGGTGTATTCCATAATTCTACTGTTTCGATATAATTGTTTATTTCCATCAATAAACACAAGTTATCTGGTACCCATGTAGTTTTGAGTGTACCATATTATGTATTTGCTCCTCTCTCCTTTCAAAATGCATAAAACATGTAACTTCACAAGAAGAAAAACATGCATTCCACAGATATGGTCTAACTGAAAGAGTATACTACACTTATAAATTACACACAGAATAAAGCCACCCATGTTAGTGTTTTTAAATCAAGCACTCAAAAGTTAGAAAATGACAGAATGAAGGAATCTGCCTGTGCAACTTTATTTTGGCCCCCTTGTGCGTATGCATTATAAGATTGACTTTGATTACATGATCACATACCATTTTTCCACCTTAATAATAAGTCACTACCATCCCCATCTATAATAGAAATATTTCTAATTTTAGAACAAATACAAAAATATAACCTTCTGATTATGTCATAGCATAGCTGCCACGTTTGTAATCTGATCAGTGATAGAAAAGCTGCTAGCACACCAATAGGATAGCTTCTGTGTTTTTACAGACCTAGAAAAGACATATAATAAAGTGGACAGAAGGATGCTCACACCAGTTCTGAGAAAATATGGAGTGTCTGAGGATTTAATAACTATGGTGAAATGCCCCATATAGATCACCTACAAGAGTAATCAGGACATGTTTTGGGACAACACACCCCTTTGAAGTGAAAGTGTATAGTATATAGAGCAGTATAAACAAGTCATTGTCTGCATGAAATTTTAGTTTGTATGGACTTCGCTAGTGGTTTTTATGTAGCCTGTTGTAAAACTAGGCAAATATCTAGATGTGTTGATGTATCCCCGGAAGACCTCTGTGTACCCCCAGTTGAGAACCACTGGTTTAACTAATTATAGTATATAGAAATAGTGTAGTCATTTAAGTAGTATGTGAGCTCTGTAGTGGTGCTCACTGTTTTCTAAGTTTTAGAAGTCACTAGAAACGACTCAGAGGAGCAGTCTGCATTAAGCTAGGCCTTGTATAGTTACATATAGTTAATTAACATGATTATTTGGGAGCCAACTGTGCCAAATTAGTGTCGTCTTATTATTTTTGTTGTGCGATACAATACTAATCATAACACGTTTTTTATATCTGTAACACAAAAACCAACTTTGATAAATTTTAGCCTTTTTTCCTGTTCTTCCTGTTTCCTGTTCTGGGACAGCGGGTACGGCCAGAGCGGTAGTTGCAGCGGGGCAGCTACCAAAAGGTCCAGCAGCGTTCTGAACCAGTGTTGGCGAGGCCACTTGGGGGCTTTTAGGATAACCTTCACCCTTTCCTGTTTGATCTTCATGAGGACTCTGTGAATCAATGGCACTGGCGAGAAGGCGTACATCAGGGCTCCCGATCACGGGAGCAGGAAAGCGTCTGATAGGGATCCCCTGTCCATCCCCCAGAGTGAACAGAACATGTGGCATTTCCCATTCTGACAGGACGTGAACAGGTCCACCTGGGGAGTTCCCCACTTCCAGAAGATAATACTGACCGCCTACAGATGGAGCAACCACTCGTGGCGAGATGAAAAGGTCCTGCTGATATGATCCACCAAGACATTCCTGGTGCTAGGCAGGTGTGTGGCTATCAGATGAATGGCATACCACACACAAAAATCCCAAAGGCAGAGAGCTCCTTGACAAGGGGCTGAAGACCTGGAACCACCATGCCTGATCATATAATACATTGCGGTGATATTGTCCATCAGGACCTGCACCACTTTGCCCTTCAGGTGGAACAAGAAAGCCTGGCAGCCCAGGCGAACCATTCTGAGATTCCTGATGTTGATGTGGAGGGCCAGATGGTCCCGCAACCAGTGGCCGTGGGTGCTCAGCTCGCCCAGGTGGGCTCCCCAGCCCAGGTCTGAAGCATCGCTGACCGACGAGGTCACGAAGGGGACTCTCTCCAACACCAACCTGGGGTCCAACCACCAATCCAGGGATGATCTGATGTGGTTTGGCACCCTCACTACCCGGTCCAGGTCGTGCCTGTTGGGGATGTAGACCGACACCATGGGCTGGAGATGGAGCCAAGCATGACTGACCACATATGTACACATGGCCATGTGGCCCAACAGCTGCAGGCAGGTGTGAGCTGTGGTGAGCAGGTGGTTCTCTACATGGGAGATCAGGTCTGACATGGCCTGAAAACACGCTTCTGGAAGGAAGGCTCTGGCTCGTGTGGAATCGAGAACCAGCCCAATGAACTCTATTTGCTGAATGGGCAATAAGGTGGATTTTCTCTTGTTTATTAACAGGCCCAGGTCACGGCAAGTGGAACGCACCAGGTCGAGGCTCCTCTGCACTTACTCCCAAGACCTGCCCTTGATGAGCCAGTCGTCGAGATACAGGAAGACCAGACTCCTCGACATCTCAGATAAGCAGCCACTGATGCCATACATTTTGTGAACACCCCGGGGGCCAATGAGAGACCAAAGGGCAACACCGTGAATTGAAAATGACGCCCATCCACTATGAAACGGAGGAAACTCCTGTGACCTGGGAATATGGGAATCAGGATCCGTCAAGTCGAGGGCGGCGTACCAGTCTCCCGGATCCAGGAAGGGGATGATGGAAGCCAGGGAGACCATGCAAAACTTCAACTTTCTGCGAAGCTTGTTGAGGCGACACAGGTCCAGAATGGGTCTGAGGCCCCCTTTCGCTTTCGGGATTAAGAAATAGCGGGGTGACACCTGGGTAGAAAAGGTTAAACATCCTGCAAAATAAATAATCCTCAAAAGACACAAGGGGAGATAATGTTTGTGTTTTTGTGTATTTACATATGTATGGGTAGGGTGGACAATGTAATCAACAGTCCCTGTCTATGCTGTATTCTAATATCATTTAAATGAATTGTAAACATGGGATATCTCAGTATTCATCTCTCTTTGAAATGTACTGTGAATGGTGGAGGAACAAGTAAATGGCCTTATGTTAATTTGTATAGTTAAGTACCGGTGACGGACCTCCTTCAAAGTCATCCTAATTACCTTTTGTTCACTGAGGAAATCACAACTTGTCAAAGAAGACATGAAATTATATAAAAGATCCTTGGGTCCTGATTCTGTCATCTCAGATCTGCTTAGACTTCATCAGGGGAAGTTTGAGTCACAAGACTGAGATCCAAGTTATGCTGGTACGCCCTGAATATGAGATTAAGACACTGGACTATGACCTATGAACTGAATTCTAAAGGAACTCTTTGCAACTACAAAGCTCACCATCTCTGCTATGAATCTGCACTTCAATGAAGTCATGTCTTTATGTATATTGATCTTTTAACCATTCTCTGACTTGCTTTTTAATAAATTTTAGTTTAGTTAATAAGAATTGGTTGTAGCGTGGACTTGGGCAAGATCTGAAACATTCATTAACCTGGGAGGTAATGTGTCCGATCCTTTGGGATTGGTAGAACCTTTTCTTTTACATGATGAAATAAGATTTACAGAAATTTTCATCATATTTAACGTGGGTACCTGGATGGAGGCCTGAGGCTGGACCATTTTAAGAGAACTGTGTTATTTGGACTTCTGAGTAACCAGTAAGGTAATAAAAAAGCTGTTTTATGCAGGCTTGGTAAATCTAAGTATTGGAATAGCCACCAGTTTTTTGGGGTTTGGCTGCCCCATTCTTTGCAGTTCACCCTAATTGAGTGACCACAGCTGGCTCCCCACTAGGACTCTGGTCACAGGCCCCCTTTTGCTTTCAGGATTAGGAAGTAGCGGGAATAGAACCATTTCCCCTTCATGTTCCGAGGGACCTCCTCCACTGCCCACAGGCGCAGGAGGTTCTCGACCTCTTGGACGAGGAGTTGCTCGTGAGAAGAGTCCCTGAAGAGGGATGGGGAGGAAGGGGCGTCCGAAAATTGCACGGTATAGCCCTAAGATATTATGTACAGCACCCAGTGGTCTGAGGTGACCTGCGACCAGACCTAACAGTAGGCATGAAGACGGCTGAGGAAAGAATAAGGTGGACCTGGGGAATTGACTGGGGTGTCACTCTCGAGCTCACCTTCAAAATGAGCGCTTCTGGCCCCTGGGATGCTTTGCCGGGCTGGACTGCGTGGGTGAGCGGGAGGAGGAAGGGCAGCGACGACTAAAGCTCATGTCTCTATCCTTTCTCCTTGCAGGCACTTGACGAGGCTGCCAAGGCCTTGGTGGCTTGGGCGGCTGGAACTGCTTCTGTGCAGACTGTGGCATATGCATGCCCAGCGAGTGAAGGGTGGCCCGAGTGTCCTTCAACCCATGCAGCCTCGCATCCGTTTGTACGGAGAAGAGACCATTTCCAAGGAATGGAAGGTCCTGGATCGAGGTCTGCATCTCTTGGGAAACACTGGCGGTCTGAACCCAGGAGCTGCGCCTCATGACCACTGCCGCTGCGACCACCCTAGCCTTCAAGTCCACCGCATCCCACACCATTTGGAGGAAGCACCTAGCAGCCGCGGTGCTTTCCTCCACTACGGTGCCGAATTCTTGGGACAGACCCTGCGGGAGGGACTCCTTTAAACTTATGGAGGAAGTCCCATAAATTAAAATTGTACCTGCCCAAGAGGGCCTGATGGTTCACCACCCGGAACTGGCAGTGGAATAAATTTTTCTCCCAGAAAGGTCCAGTCTTTTGGCCTCTTTATTTTTAGGAGTTGAACTAGTGTGCCTCTTCTTGTCTTTTTCGTTGGCCGCAGAGACAACCTGTGATCCTGGAGGTAGATGGGTATAAAGGTACTCGAACCCTTTGATCGGGACAAAGTATTTTTTTTCGGCCCTTTTGGAGATGAGAGAGATGGAAGACAGGGTTTTCCAGAGGGCCTTGGCAATTTTCAGGACCACATCATGCACTGCCAGGGTAGTGGCCGAGAGGAAATTGAACAAGGTGTCCACCTGGTCGGCCATCTCCTCCACCTGTAGGCCCAAGTTCAATGATAGTGACTTTTAAATCTGTAATAGAATGACCAGGGAGATTGAAGTGTTCACTTACTGGCTTATGTATGTTACCACTCCTGATGTCCGATTTGTGTCCATTTATTCTTTTGCGGAGGGACTGTCCGGTTTGGCCAATGTACATGGCAGAGGGGCATTGCTGGCACATGATGGCATATATAACATTAGTGGATGTGCAGGTGAATGAGCCCTTGATGGTGTGGCTGATGTGGTTGGGTCCTCTGATGGTGTTGCCAGAGTAGATATGGGGACAGAGTAGGCAACGAGGTTTGCTACAGGGATTGGTTCCTGGGTTGGTGTTTCCGTAGTGTGGTGTGTAGTTGCTGGTGAGTATTTGCTTCAGGTTGGGGGGTTGTCTGTAAGCGAGGACTGGCCTGCCTCCCAAGGTCTGTGAGAGTGAAGGATGATTAATCTGGGCTTGAATAGGGACTGGGAGTGGCTGGCTCATTACAGAAGCAGCTTTTCCTCTCCTGGAATTGACACCTCCTCATCTATTATTGGGAGTGGACTACATCCACCCTGATTGAATTGGCCCTGTCAACACCGATTCTCCACTTGCGAAGTAACTCCCTGCTCTCCATGTGTCAGTATATAATGCCTGCATCTGTAACTTTCACTCTATGCATCTGAAGAAGTGAGGTTTTTACCCACGAAAGCTTATGCCCAAATAAATCTGTTAGTCTTTAAGGTGCCATCAGACTCCTTGTTGTTTTTGTAGATACAGACTAACACGGCTACTCCCTTATATTTAGCAACTACTTAACACTAACTACTATAAACAAACTATTTACAAGGCCGTAAACTATTTACCTAAGGCTCGAGTCAGTAGAGACAAAACCACTAGCCCTTGCTATAGAAGGAAAGGCACTCCGACAAACCACCACGGGCGGTAAGAAGGAACTGAGAGGGTGTAAGGTTGGCAGTGCCTGGTATACCGATGCATGGACACGGCATTCAAGGGGGCGCCACTGCTGACCCTACGGATATCGCTAAGGCAAAAATCTCTGACGACCGCGCAAGGGGTGCACGCACACCTAGAATGGAATCAACATGAGCAAGCACTTGAAGAAGAACCATCAATAAGGAGCTGGTACCAAATACAAGGAGTTGGGAATAAGGCCTCATGGTCAGCCCTCAGTACAACCCTGTTTATCACATTGATGGTCTACATCAACAGGAATAACTCAAATGGAAAAAGCTGAGACATTTGTATCTGCAGATGACATAGAAATATAGGCATCCTCAAAAGAAAACACTAGAGGAAATTGCAAATCAGTGGTATGACCAGCTAGACAGGCATGGGATAAAAGTGAGCACAACTAAGATACAGGTCACGTGGGTCAGTGGAGGTGCTGCAGGGAAATTGGACACAGAGATTAAGTAGCAGGAATAATCCGACTAGCAAGCTCATGTACCTTGGTGCCTGCGTTATGGAAGACGATGAGTTTGAACACGAGATACAGTCTAGACTATGGAGTGCTGGGAGAGCGTGGAGGTGTTCTTCATGACAAGCATACGCCACTGAGACTGAAAGACCAACTATCCAGAACAATGGTGTTTCCTGCAGTGTTGTATGGTGCACGAGCATGGGAAATTAGGAAACAGCAGGTTCAACTTCTACAGGTGTTTGAGATGAGATGTCTTTGTGTCATGAAAGGAGTTACTTGAAGAGACAGATTTTGAAATGAAAGTATTAGGACGGAAGTCAAAGTCCCTGATGTAGCTGATAAAATCCAAGAAGTGTGACTTTGCTGGTTTGGATACATAGAGAAGATGAATGAAGGGGACCTGGTGAAGACAGCATAGAGTAGGAGAGGTTAGTAGAAAAGAGAGCCCAAGGAAAGCCAAAGAAGTGATGGATGGATTGCATCAAAGAAGATGGGAAGCAGGTGGACCTTAGCGACCTTGTGCACTAACAAAGATGGCTGATGCTTGCATGACAACCTGACTCCAGTCAATACGATAAGGGGAAGAAGATTATTATGTCATAGCTGTGAAATCGGATATCTGAAGAGAAAATAAATCCAGGCATGTTACAAATAGTAAAAATAACTAAAAAACCCTACTTTATTGTACCTAACCCAACTTCCTTTTTCACAAAAACAAAACTTGAACTAGAGCCAATACCATAACGTTGAGATGAGCTATGACTCGGAGATCCTAATATAGATATTATACAGGAGAAAGTAAAGCCTGCATTTTTTAATACTGTATTTTTCAGAAACTCTTTTACTGCTGATTAGACCTATTTTCAGAGGAATTGTAGGAGAAAGACAGCTGCTAGCCGGCTGCTGTCATTGCCTTGTGCCGCCGCCTACTGAAAACAAAAAGGGCAAATTTCCAAAAAATGGCAACTGCAGATATTTAGGCATTTTTAGAGTTTTAGAGTCAGTAGTACTTTTCAAAAGAATTTTTAGGAACACAATATAAAATATAATAACAAAAACAACACCACACACAGAGTGTCTATATATATACAAAATACATGATGAACTGTGGTAAAATACAGGTTTTACTGGCACAAGTATGAAACTCCTGCATATGTTTGAAATGCATAACAAAGCCATGAGTGAGTTTTCCTGGTTAACAAAAACAAATTCAAATAAACCATTTGCATTATGGTATGTGGTGATATTTTCTGTTTTATTCTTTTAGAGGAAACTTTGGATTTAGAAAAAAATTAGACTAACATTTTCATTGGTACTATTTTTTGTATTACTCCATCTACATCATCAAGCTGTCTTAGTTACCATGTACATAGTGATAGAAAAATAAGAACCAAATTTTTTTTAAAACTTCTAAAAAGTAGCTATAGTAAAGCTTTTCCATAAATCAGGTATTATGATGATAAGGTCTTCTATCTCACACCCTGTCAGACCTATAAATGAATGCTACATATCAATAGAAAACCTATAATCCCAGCTATCCAACAGGACACAGCAAGTGTCTCTAACCTTTTAATTCTCTAATTGCCCTTAAATCTGTCACTGGTCCAAGAGCAAATATTGGCAGTCCTAGATTTTGGCTCAGTTAATTTTTCAATCCCTGCTGCGGAGAAAGATGAAAACATTTTTTTGTCAATTATTTTAAAATTAACATCTATTTTAAAAGTACTCAGAGATTTGGAATATGAAATGTAATCCTGTTAAAAGATAGATTAACAGGCAAATCATGAAGAGCAGCAGGTCAAGAGACAGAAGGTGCAAAATAAATAAAATTAATTTCAGGGCAGCTTATTTTGTTTGAAGCAAGGGATTTATTGTATTACTGTGCTGCTCAAATGTGGTATAAATAATTATATATATAGCACTTTTCATCAGAGGATCTCAAAGCATTTCACAAACTAAGTCTCATAACACCACTATGAGGTAAGTGGTATGTCCATTTTACAGATATGGAACCTTCAGAAAAAGGTTGAGTGAAATTTGCCCAATTTCACACAGGCAGTTGGGGCAGAGCTGGACCTAAAACTTAGAGGACACACAATTTCAAGCTCATAATGTCCATTCTATAAACATATTATGCACAAAAAGCTACACTGAAAGAATATTCAAGTTTTAAAGTCAAGCTCTCAAAACTGGTGAGGAAAGCAAAGGGAGAGCATTGAGAACACAGGAGAGACTGTCTCCCTTCTCTGAGTTCCTGTGCCTGGCATCAGACTGCCATCTGGAACTAAGGAGAAGCAATTGCAGGGAAAGTCCTGCTTAGCCCCTGCAGCCTTAAGTTGGAACATGCTCAGTTGTTTTGTGGGGCTAGTGTATGAACAGTCCAGTCAGCACACAGGCGCTGTGAGGGGATGGAGCACGCTTAGCACAAGCAGTATTTTCAGAAAATTTAGCTGCTGCCATACTCAAAAAAGTCCCTACTAAGCACTTGTGAACTGAGAAAAGGCTCATAACCTGACCTTTTTTGGACGAATTTTCACAGTGATGGGGAAAAGGCACATCCCTGACCCCACAGCAACGCTCTCTGCCAAATTTAAAGTCTCTGCTCCAACATATGAAGGTTCTCAGCAAAATGAGAATTTTTTTTTCACATGGACAAACAATGTATTTTCCCCCTAACCTCATTCTCAGAAACAGCTGAACCATTCTGGGTGAAACTTTCCAAAAATACTGAGCCTGAAACATTCACCCAGCATGGAAAATTTCAGCCTGAATGGTGGGTGAGATAATATCTTTTATTGGACCAATTTCTGTTGGTGAGAGAGACAAGCTTTTGAGCTCACACCGAGCTCTTCTTCAGGTCTGGGAAACGTAATAAGAGTGTCACAGCTCAATATAAGATGGAACAGATTGTTTAGCATAAGTAATTAACACCTATGTCAATCTGTTCCATCTTGTATTGAGCTGTGTCACTCTTAGTATGTTTCCCAGACTTGAAGAAGAGCTCTGTGTGAGCTCAAAAGCTTGTCTCTCCCACCAACAGAAGTTGGTCCAATAAAAGGTATTATCTTACCCTCTTTATCTCTAATATCCTGGGACCGACATGGCTACAACACTGAATAGGTATCCTGAATGGTTTAAGTTTGGCAACATTATAAGCAACCAAAAACAGGTCTTTTAATGGAAAGTGTCAGGCAACCTTACATATATGTGATTCTACCTATGCCAGCTATAATGTACATTTTGTATTTATATATTACATAAATAAGGTAGATTAACCAACATATACAATTCATATATCAAGTAAGTTCAGTAAGAAAGACTACAAGGCATGAAAGAACTGTTTTCTTTACTTACTTGGCTGCTTCTTCATTAAGTATCTTTAAGTATTGTTTCACGGGGCAGAGAAGCTCAGGAATTTCCAAGAGGGCCATCTGCAGTAAAGGAGCTTTCACTTGGCAACGTATAGCTGGAAACAGTGCTTGGAGTTCTGTCTCCAGGCGAGACAAAGTGCTGACTATCAAGAAGAACTCTTGAGTTGAACACTGAAAGTGGAAAAAGTTTTAGTTTAAATTGTTACAACATTGTATGTTCCAGGATACCCACATTACATCTTGTTTAAATTAAACAATGTTCATAGTTAATTTTTACATATTGAAATACTACTTGATGATCTTATGTTCAAAAGGTAAATCTGATGGATTAATGACATATTTATTATTTGTTACTTATTACAGAAGCACCAAAATGGGTCCCTATCGTGCTAAGCACTGTATAAACATGGAGTAAGAGAGAGTCCCTCCCCCAAAGATCATATCATCTAAATAGACAAGACAGACAAAGCGTGAGGAAAAGGGATATAACATACAAGCAGAATGAGCAGTGATGAGGGAGCAAATGGGGTTTGCAGCAAACAACCAATAAGAATAGTGAAGAGAATGTCCAGAGTGAAAACTGCAGAAAGCAGTCTGATGCCATCATCAATATCCAACAGTCCCTGCTTAAATTGCTCCTGGAACAACTTTTACCAGATTTAGTCTCAAGTTGGCTCCTCTCTGCAGTTTCTTTCCCCAACACCACATGGATCGGGGGTAGAAGAGACATCACTGCATAAGTCCTAATGCCCCCAGAAAATAATGGCTTTCCTTGCACAGTTCTGGGTCTGGGGGTGAGCAGGGGAGTCCCGCCGCCTCTTCCCAGTGCAGCAATACTAGCTTAAAATATAATTCTCTCCCTTTCTCCCCTTAAGCAGGGTGTTATTAGTGATGACCAAATGTTAGATGATTCAACGTAGATCACAGATCAAATGACTTCATATAGTGGATTCAGTTTACCTGCACTACTAAATCTGCTGGACAACAGAAAACTTAAATGTATTTAATCAGTCCTAAAATCACTTATGAAAGCATTAAAGAGTGTGAAGATATGCTGTATAACGATCAGAAAACTTCCTTTTAGACTTTGTTAAGAAGTATGTAAAAGAGTGTATAGTATATGAAGGAACATGGAGTAGGCAAAGTCAGCAAAGGCCTTTACACCATTGAGAAGGGAAGCTTTGCAAAGAGCTGCAGAGCTACAAATATAAATATTGGAGATACCAGAAGATAATGCTCAGAAACCATCTATCAGTTTCTCAAACAGATAAAATATCCCAAGATATTTGCATGTAAACATTTATGGACTCTGATTTTAGAGAGACAACTAACTATACATATAAAACCACAAAAGAGATGCTTTATTTTCATATTGGTCTATGAAAAGATTATATATGAGAACTCATATTCTCATTGGATCACTTATAGCTCTCTGTATGAAGCGAAGATTATATTCTGGTTGGTCCATATCAGCTTTTCAAAAAGGGAAAGCATCAACAGACCTCCCTTAAAAACTGAATAAAATAATTCCTAGTGCTTTCAACAAATTGCTCCCTACAAGCTAAACACAGATAGGGTAATCGATTTTTTCAGATGGCTTCTGAGGAGCATTCCTACTGGAAATAAAGACTTATCACTGAGAACTATCTTACTCACTTTCTTTTATGTGTTACTGAAACCAGAATGAGATTACAGCTATATCACCACCAGCTTGATCTAAAGTTATCTTTAAAAGGAAGTTTCTACGTATCTCAAGAGACTAGTAATTACCTTAAATTCTACAGCTCAGTTTATCTATATACTGTTTACCTATATACTGTTTTCAGTTAATAAGAAATTAAGGCTTTTATACTTTTATTTCCTTTTTCCAAGGTGAGTATTAGGTTATCCTAAATTAATACTTCTCTGAGTATATATCCAAGTCATAAAACTCTGTCAATTAATTACATGCATATTTGTACCTGTATTTCATTAACAAGTTTCAACTTAATTGTCAACAATTTGGTATCAATAAATGAGTCAGAGTGCTGAGACTGGAAAATTTACTAAGCTCATTTATCATAAAAATGTAACAGGAATCTTTACAACTCACATGAGAGTGATAGTGTCTTAGACAATTAATATAAGATTGAATTAATAAATTATGAGGTGTTTATGTTTGCTTTAATATTTGGTCTATTAGATATATATGTTAATGAACTTTTTTATTTGATACATTTTCTGAATGTATAGTTTTAATACCCCTTGCTATGTGATATATTGTATATAATTTACACAAGTCATCTTCTTTGGGTTTTATTTAAAACCGAACGAATAACTTTCCAAATTCTCTCACTTAATTTCTTTTTCTTTAACCCTCCTATATATTCGCATAGCCCAGAAAGACAAAAGCAAAAAAAAAAAAAAAAAAAAAAAAAAATTATCTATCCATTTGAAATTTGTTCCATCATGTGAATCAGAAAATACAGGTTTTCTGCACACGATACCCCGAAGAGAGGCAGAGGTCTGTTAGATGCTCTCCTTGGGTACATCTACACAGCAATTAAACACCCACAGCTGGCCTGGGTCACCAGGCTCAGGCTGAGGGGCTGTGAAATAGATTTGTAGACTTTTGGGCTCAGGCTGGATCCCAAGCAGTGGGACCACGCAAGTAGGTAGGGTCCCAGAGCCTGGGCTCAAGCCCAAGCTCAGATATCTACACAGCAATTTTTAGTTCCACAACCTGAACCTCGTGAGCCCAAGGCAGCTGACCCAGGCCAGCCACAGGTCTTTTATTCCAGTGTAGACATACCCCATGTGACTTGATGGTATGGTACAAGTTAGAGATGGAAAACACCTATTAGTTCATCTCCATGCAACTGCAGATGGTTCTCTATGGTATATTTCCTAATGTTTTTGTGTAGTCTAATTTTTTGTTCAGTCTTGCAACACTAAAAAACCCAAGAAATGGTGTTTTTGCTAATTTTCTTAGGAGCCTAATTCACAGCCTACTAAATCTCACTGAGTGGAAGTTTTGTGTGATATTCAACCTAAATATTCCTTTTCTTAAATAAATCCCAGTACTTCTAGTCATGTCCCTTTGCATTCACACTAAATAGCTCCTCTGCCCCCTTGCTGTTAATAATTTTCAAATACGTGTAGCCTTATGTACTCCTCTAGTCATCATTTAACCAAGATAATAATCTTTTGTCAAAGCAATCCACCGCCTCCTGAAGATATCTGTTGATCTTTGCACTCACTGCAATTTATCAACATCTTTCTGATAATGTGGTATTGTCTTACCCCATCATGTAAACACAGTGAAAACAAAATAAAACAAATAATGAAATGACCCTTGAAGTCACCATTCACAGAAAATCTCTGATATCCAGACTAAATAAATATCAAACTTATGCATGGAATCAAAATTCAAGGTAAAACATGGGGTGGAGAAAAAACAAGCTGAAGTCGTCATCTCTACAAACTAAAATGCAGACAATGGATAAGATACTGCAGGATGCCTAATGACTAATTATACATTTATAGGTGGAGCAAAAACTGATGTCCAACCATGCAGATACTGCAGTAGATTCTTGATGAATGCTACACAGGGAGTAACAACAATAGAACAAAGCATGGAAGGCATAGACAACTGAGCTAATATTAATCACAAGAGTAACTTCTTGGCCCTATGTCATTTAACATTTTTATCAGTGACCTGGAAGAAAACATAAAATCATCAATGATAAAGTTGGTACATGACACAAAAATTTGGGGAGTGGTAAATAATGAAGAGGACAGGTCACTGACAGAGCAATCTGGATCACTTGGTATACGGATCACACATAATATGCATTTTAATACAGCTAATTGTAAATGTCTACAACCAGGAAAATGTCCACATCTAGTCCATACTTATAGGATGGGAGACAAGGTGGACGGGGGGGGAAAAAAAAAATCAATGATTTTTTTTTTAATAAAGGAATCAGATTTTTAAAAATAATTTCAATATGATTTTTTAATTTAAATTATAATACATTTTTATTTAAAAAAATAAACCTGTTTAAAATTAAATCTGAATTTAATTAAAAATATATTAAAGGCCTAAACTTATTATAATTTTGTTGTCAATATGAACGTGTTTTGTATCCAAAACGTTTAAGGTTGTTCTGTTTAATAAAAATAAATGTTATATGCTGTTTTGTGTCTTTAATTAATTTCCAGTTACCATCCTAATGCAGCTTGACACAAAACGTGAGCAAAAAGTTAATTATCTAGTAAATAAAGCAATATATCATTCACCATTTTCTAGCATACTAAAATTGTACAATTAATAAGAATATGAAAATAATAAGCTACACAATTGCTTAAATAAACGTATATAGTTATAGTGTACCCTCCTAGGTAGCAAAAATATGTACTAAATCTAGTGTAAAGGCTCTATTTAGTTGTAAATCAATATGTTTTCATGGTTATGTCAAGCAATGAGAATGCACCTTTCTTTAGAAAATAACTGAAATAAAATGGAAAAGTTGATTAAAATCTATTATTAAACTGAGGCTTTCCACTTGGTGATTTAAATCAATCCACTCTGATCTGAGACTCTATCCCAGGAAGCAGTGAAAAAGATTTGGGGGTTGTGGCGAATAATTAGCAGACCATGAGCTTCCAGGGTGGCACTGTGGCCAAAAGAGCTAATGCAATCCTGGGATGTATAAATAGGAGGCTCTTGATTAAGAATAAAGAGGTTATTGTACCTCTTTTTCGCACTGGCGCCATCACTGCTGGAATACTGTTGTCCAGTTCTGGTGCACACAATTCAAGAAGGATAAATTGGAGAAGGTTCAGAGAAGAGCCATGAGAATGATAAAAGGATTAGAAAAACATGCCTTATAGTCAAAGACTCAAAGAGCTCAATCTATTTAATTTAACAAAGAGAAGTGGGTCTTGATTAGAGTCTATAAGTATCTACATGGAGGAAACAAATATTTGATAATGGGCTCTTCAATATAGCAGAGAAAGCTATAACATGATCCAGTGGCTGAAAGTTGAAGCTAGACAAATTCAGACTGAAAATAAGGCGTAAATTGTTGACAGTGAGATTTATTAACCATTGGAACAATTTACCACGGGTCATGGTGGATTCTCTAGCACTGACAATTTTAAAATCAAGATTGGATGTTTTTCCTAAAAGATATGCTCTAGGAATTATTTTGGGGAGTTTTAAGGCCTATGTAATATGGGAGGTCAGACTAAATGGTCACAGTGGTCCCTTCTGGCCTTGGAATCTATGAATCTAGATTCCTGCCTGATCACATACTGTCCAAGAGTGTGAATCCACTGGGATTGGTATCTTTGGAGAACTGAGCTTTTAGATACTATTTTATTGCTAGCAAGCTTATAGGTAAATAGTTTCTGAGAGATAATGAAAATACCCCTTATTTACCTACTCAGGTTGTTACTGCATAATACTCTGGTTTGATTTTAGCAACAATGCTGAAAACTGACAGTTAAATATGATACCTTTGAAAAACTGGTTCATTTAGAGTATAAATTGGAACAGAAATGTAATACTGAAAACCGGGAACTGCAGCCAATGGAACCTGCGGGGACGGTGCCTCCAGGCAGGGGCAGCGCATAGAGCCCCCTGGCCCCTCTGCCTTGGAGTTGCAGGGACATTCTGGCCGCTCCTGGGGACAACCCCTCCCCCCCCCCCCCACACACACACAGGTAAGCGCCGTCCCGCACCCCAACCCCCAGCCCTGAGCCCTCTCCCCACCCAAACCATCATCAGCCCTGGAGCCAGCCATACCGGCCGCTGCAGAAGTCACAGAGGTCATGGAAAGTCACGGAATCCATGACTTCCGTGACCTCCATGACAGACACAGCGGACAATGGCTGTGAACAATGGCAACCTCTCCACCAATGCTGAAAATGGTTTGGCTGCTGTTGTGCAGAAAGTATGCAAGGCACCATATCGATGTGCAATGTCTAGTGCTCTTTCTTGAATACTGTTAAAAACAGTACACTAGCAGCCAAACTGTTTTCAACAAACCCTGAAAGCAGGTCAGAGAGATCCATTGCTCACTGCCACTGTCAACTATAGGTTATCATCCAAGTGAAAAGCTTTTCAAATGAGAAAATGGGACCTAAAAATGCTCTTTATGTGACTGTACAATATCACCCCTCTCGAATTCTAATTGCTACCTTTGGGTCTCTTAATGATGGTATACTATTTTTGGTTTAGAAAAAGTGAGGTATTTCATTGTAAGGCCATTGCGTCCATTTTTTTCCCTCTGTGACCGCTCACGTTAACCAGGCTAGAAAGGAACAATTATTTAAATCTGCATTTAATATTGTTGATCTAAAATTTGTGATGTTTTTGCCTTGGATAAATGCAGTTGCCACTGAAACGTCTGCATATTTATCACAGACTGAGTTAATGTGATCCAGGAATAGCTGGATTTGAACCAGCTTTTTCTAGTGGATTAGTATTTTTTCCTGCAATATATTCAACTAATTTAGAAATAAGAGAAGTGTCTTGCACTCTTGTGATTTAGACCCAACCATGCAGAGCACTGCATATGGGTAGCCCTCTGCAGTCACCCACAGAAGTCCACTTGTCTCTGCATGGGCATAACACATTGCAGGATTGGGGCACTAAATAGTTATTCAAGTGCTGACTTTCAAATTTTGAAAAAGACTTATCTTTTCCACCACACCATCTACTGAAATTATAACTTTGCTATCCCTCTGCCCACTTTTTTTTTTTTAATCCAAAAAGAATTGCCAACCTCTCTAAATATAATGGGGAAATAAAAGAACATGAAGTACAGCACACATGCTATTAGCACATTAACCTGCTTCAGCTAAGAATCAGCAGTGTCTCATTACAAGTAATTTTTATTAAAATGTTCAAGCAAGATCTAAATTAAAGAATTTATAAAAATATTAACATTCAACTGAAAACAGTAACAGTTAACTACAGCAAAGTGGTTTTCACTTATTGATGTGATTTTAGATAAACATACACCATTTAAAATGTGTTGCTTTAGGGAACAACTGAATGCATATGATTCCTCACCTGCTAATGTACCCAACAGACGTCACATGTCCAAAGAAATCTATATATTTTGCATCAGTGACAGGACCAATTGTAACTGTTATCTTATACTGATATGGCATTTCTGCTTAAAACAATATATTATCGATCCAATTGGTGTAAAACTAGATTCTACTGAAAGGAAAGAATGTTTGTTATTTTGTCTCCTATCCTGTTATTGTGTGAAACTTAGTCTTAAAGTTAAGAAAAAGTAATTTGAAGTGGATATGTTTAAACATTTCCTGTAAAACTTATGAAAGCACATTTAAGCATACTGACAAATATTTAGAAAACAAGAGTTGGTGATAATGCATTTGATAGATAACTATTTACCTTTTTGTGATAAATACTACAGAGTCCTCTCTCTATGTCTGGCATCTTACACAGATGATTTTGAATATGACCAAACACACTGGATTCTGACAGGAGAATTTCAGACACAGCATCAAGTCGGGCATTTATTTCACTGTAAAACAACAATCATGAGATCTGTAATGAAAATTCCAACTTCTTCAAGGAGGGAACGTGGTTGTCCAACATTTTGGACTATGGCTAAGCCCATGCTATCATATTTAAAGTAACAGAAAATGTTTAAGACATTATTTATATTTGAGCATGATTAAAATGATCAAAAATCTCAAACACATTCTGGGAATAATTTCCCCAGAGCTCCATGGGGTAGGGTTGTCAAGGTTGCCTACACACTTCTAGGGCCTTCACTGTTCTGGTTACACTGAATAGTGCAGAAAAAAGGAGCAGCATGTACAGTGATTCCCACTGGACTCTGTTCTGATGTGAATTGTGCCAGGCTCGCTTACAACTATGACAAGCCCCATAGGCTATGGTGGTAGAGTTTATAACTTTAGCGAGACCTACAATCTGAAGTTTACAGCACCTGCAAACCACATAGACTTTATCAGTGTATCTTATTACTTTAATGAAGCCTCAAATATGGTACTGCTCAGACTGAATAAAAGCTTGTTATTCTCCCCCCACCACTCAAGAACCACATTTGAGGCTTTCCATGGAAGTTCTAGGTTCCCCCGACACAACCTTTAGAAGTTGTGACTTTGGAGTAGGAGTGAAGAAATACAGGTCTGATAGAAGTTACATACAAACTCTGTTCATATTCTTGGGTTTTAAGAGCATGAAAACAGTGCACACACTTTAACCACTAAGGAAATTCTCAGGAAAAATAAATTTAAGGAATACTGACCACTGAGATTATAATTCCCTTTAAAATAATGTTTCTATATTTTTTTAAAGAAATGCTTGAAACAAAAGAAAGTTGCTTTCAAGTTTCCAGCTCTACCTCTGTTCCTATATCCCCAACTACTCTCCACGTTTGTGTTATACATCTCATTACCGTACTCCATCCACATTTCCAAAACAGACCAGAGTGCACCACAATCCACACATCTATATCAGTGGCGCATATCCTCTGCGGCACGATGGACATATTGACAACTTGCCAGGATCCTAAAGGTTCCACCTAATTTGCATACAAGTCCCTGTCCAGATTAGGATAAAGATGTTTAAAATAAAACAAAGACATGTTAGCTAACATATTTTAGTTTATTGGCGTTTAAACACTTATTAGAATCTCATCTCTAGGGGTGACCGCAACCAGTCTTCCACAATTATACTGGACAAAATAATATTGAGGGATTTTTTTTTTTAAGTATGGATGTTATCATTTATGAAGGATATTAAAGAGAAAAGGTGGGTGAGATAGTATCTTGTATTGGACCCGAAGAAGAACTCTTTATAAGCTCCAAAGGTTGTCTCTCACCAACAGAGGTTGGTCCAGCAAAAGATATTGTTCACTGAGATTGTAACTTTTTGGGAAAGGGACCTATCTTTTTTTTTTTTTTTTTTTGTAGCGCACAACACAAACCCATATATTATAGAAATAATAAATCTGCCATGCCAATCGCCACTACAGATCACTAAAGAAGATCACTACAGATCTGTTGCAAATTCAGGGAAATACCAGGATTCCATACTTTCCAGTAGATTCAAGATCAGGGCACTTTGGCCTTGAAGGAAGCTAGCACCTGCAAGGCCCATATACTTGAAATTCCGTTGATACACAAATTAAAATGAGCATGTCAGATATGGATGTGCAATCAATACACATTAATATGTTACTAGCAAGAAGCAGATCCCTTTCTTTGCTGCATTCTCAAACTTCAAAGCAATGTCCTCAGAAAAATCTGTTACCCCTTGTTGGCAGACAATTGGGTCAGAGTTCAATTTGTAGACTTCTCAGCTGACTGTGTCTGATTTGCTTCTACCATACAAATGTAAAAAAAAAAAAAATCTCCAGTGGTAAAGGGCCTTGATGACTGCTATAACTGCAGAACTTCAAAATGTGATGTCAGTGATGATTTCAACTCGAACACTGGCCTTTTTGAACCAATGATTTTAGGCAGACAATGTACAATCAAGAAAAACAATTTACTGTTTGTGGTGTCTACCTTCATATTCAAACTGGCTATATTTCATATCATTATGATGACACAAAGCTGAGGGGTTGCAAACACTTTGGAGGATAGAACTAAAATTCAAAGGGATCTTGATAAATTGGAGAACTGGGCTATAGATAAGAAAATGAAATTCAATAGAGACAAATGTAAGGTCCTACACTTAGGGAAGAAAAAACAAAGCCACAAATCAGAATGGGGGAGAACTAGCTTGGCAGCAGCACTGCTAAGAAGGATCTGGGAGTTGTGGTGGATCACAACCTTAACATGACTCAACAACGCGATGCTGTTGTCAAATAAAAAAAAAGGGGGGGGGGGGAATGCAATTTTCGGTTGCATTAGCAGAGACATAGCATGCAAGTCACAGGAGGTGATAGTACTGCTCTACTCGGCGCTGGTTAGGCTTCAGCTGGAGTACTGTGTCCAATTTTGGTCAACACTGTACGGAAAGGATGTAGCGAAACTGGAAAGGATTCAGAGGCAAGCAACAAAGATAATTAAAATGGATGGAATGCAAGCCATATGAGCAAAGGCTGAAGGAACTGGGTATGTTTAGTTTGGAAAAGAGGAAATTAAGGGCGGACATGATAGCAGTCTTTAGATACTTGAAAGGCTGTCATAAAAAAAGATGGAGAAAAGTTGTTCTCTCTTGCCATAGAGGGCAGGAAAAGGGGCAATGGCTTCAAGCTACAGGATAGCAGATTTAGATTAAATCTCAGGAAAAACTTCCTAACTGTAAGAACAGTAGGACAATGGAACAGACTGCCTCGGGAAGTCATGGAATCTCCTTCACTGGAGGTTTTCAAAAAGAGGCTGGATTGCCATCTGTCTTGGATGTTTAGACACAACAAATCCTGCAACTTGGCAGGGGGTTAGACTAAATGACCCTTTCGGGCCCTTCTAATCCTATGATTATGTCTCCTAGTATATTTTTAAGACAGAGCAATTGTTTCTTTTCACAGCAAGTAAATGACAGAGCCCTTGTTTTTGACAACTATTTTCTCATCTTAAAAAAAAAAAAAATCAACCATGTCTATTAAAAAGTCTTCACAAATATACTTTCACCTGCTGATATACATTGCTAAGCAACATTTTCCAACTTTTTTAATATTCCTCCACCTGTACATGAATCTCTAAAAGAGTCTCCTTCAGTCTCCTCCCGCTGGTCCAGTGTCCATGAAGAAAGGGTTTGTTACAGCCACACTTCTTTTCAGCAATTCTTCCCCCCCAGGGCTGGTTCTAGGCGTGGGCAAGCAGGACAGTCACCTTGGGTGCCAACTTCCAGAGGGTGCTGTAACTCTGGGTTGTTTTGTTTTTTTGTTTTGCTCTGCTCTGATTGGTCCACCATTTCTGTTCCGCTCTGGCCAGCTGAATTTACTTTCTTCCTCTGCTGCTTGGTCAGACGGTTGAGGTTAAAGCAGATGCCAAAAACATTTTTCCCCTAGTCAGCAAAACGGCTAAAGCCACTCCTGCTTCCCCACCCCACCAACTCCTACATTATCCATGCTAGCCTGTCACCATATTAACAAACCTTTCACCACACAGACAAAGGCCATGATTCCTGTGCTCTTCTGACAGTGGCAAGTGACAACCCCAATTCCCATGATAGCTGCAATCAAAAAGTCCATTCCCTACTAAACCCTAACATTCTTAAGTGTTTGAAAATCGTATTTTGTCAGCTGCAAATGTTAATGTTAGTTGCAAAATGAGCCCTCCACTGCAGCCTTTGGATTTCAGTTGTTTTAACTAAAAGAGAGTCTTTTTATTCTCTCCCTTACCTGCCAGTACTCCACTCCTCTAAGATAATTTGAGGTTGGAGGCAGCAAATTGTAGGCCACAAAACTAAGAGGCATTTTGTAACTTTCTCTTTTATATCACCTGATCGTAATGGATTAGTTGGATACATCTATGAAAATGATGAGCAATAAAATAGTTAACATAAAATATAATGAGGCATCAGAGTTATTTTTTTCCACTGAAATGAATCAGATAGCTCACACCTCTCAGGGCTACTGTTTCAGGATGTCTGCATAAATTCAGAAGTTTCCGAAGTTTATCTTCACAATCAAGAGTTAATAAAAAGAATGGTTACTTACCCTAAAGTAACTATGGTTCTTCGAGATGTTGTAGCAAGCGTGGATCCATTCCATCTGGTGTCCGATCTCCACCTGTGGCCAATCTCTGATGCTTCAGAAGATTAAGAAATAGAATACATACAAGCGCCAACTGTACACTGGCAGGGGGGGGGGGGGATTTCTTCCTGAAGTGGCTGACTGAAGCATGAGATTTAACTGTAGTCATTCAGAAGGAAGGAATCTGATAATGACCCTAGGCTCAGTGTAAATCTGTAGCCAAGTTCTGATATTTGGTAGCAAACAATTCTATCAAAGAGATCCCCAATGTAGAATATCAGTTCCATGACAGATCTATGCAGAAGCCATTTGTGATTGGTCACTGACTACCTTTGCAGCAAGTCTGCTAGATTGCTGCTGACTCCCAGGAGTGAAGGTTCATTGGGGTCACCTGGTTTTGATAGCACCAAGTCCAGAATTTGATGGCTTCCTGACAAAAGGAGGCAAGAAACATGCAACCTTTGTTTAGTAGCTGTCTGTGAAGATTTCCACTCCTGTGTTCCAGAGGAGAGGCAGGAACGTGATACAAGACAGTCTGATGATGCTAAGCTCCCAGACATTTGTATGTTATTCTGTGTTGCCTGGGGACCAGGTTCCTTGGATCTGCTGGTGGTGGGGAGGATGTGAAAATGAACACCCATTTGTCCAAGATTATACTGCCCTATGCCTGATGGAACACTGCAAGGCAGCTCCTGAACACTGGCTCCTGATTAGTTCTGGTGTAGTCACGATGGTCCCGTCAAATATGCTGTCTGGATGACGAGGTGGGATGCGGGAAAGAGGAGGCAGATGACAGGCCTCTCGTGGAGCATTGCAATTGTTTCCACAATGGGTGTTCTGGCTGTCTT